AGTATCTGCATTTGTTTGTCTGCTCTTTAGCAGGACTTGGAAAACTCTACTATGAAACGTGGTTGGATGTGGTGTGTGTCAGAGAAGAACCAGTGAAAGTTTGGTGTTGGTTAAATGTGGTTTAATAAGGAGGCTGTTAGGGCCTTGGCGGAGGTTTACGCTCTTTAATGCCTCTTACTAATACAACCACTCAGGCATATTCACAATGTATACATAAAACTGCCATATCACAGGCCAAGTTTTGCAAAAACCTGCAGACCCAAGTGCGTTTCTATCCACTTATTTTTACGTGTAAATTAAAAAAAATTCTGACATTATTCCAAAAAATGTTTAGTAAAATTTGACCAAATGCACTGAAAACAGACCTGGTGGATAAAATCGCGAAGTACCTGAAACAATCTGGACCACGGCTGCTGACGCTTCCATTACAATCGACGAGTGGAAAAAAAATTGGCGGCAAACGAGAGCGTCGTATTTGTGCGGCGATGAGGAGAGTGTAACATTACTCAAGTTAATGCAGCGCGTAAATCAAACATAAACGCCATATATCCATCATATTTTTCTACCGTTCGAGGTCTGAATGACTTTCAATTACATTATCTTTACGCTCTCTTCTTTCTCAGAGCTTTATTGGCGTTTGACTGTAGAATTATCGCCCCCAGCTGTTTATCTTGATTCCCTCCGCTGCCAATATTTGCATAATAGTAGTAGATCAAAGTGCACGTTCACTTGTATTTTCTTTTTGATGAATTTCTAGTTCAATTTCACACAACGTCTGGATCGAGACCCGTCACACCGTTTCTTTGTTTTCAATTTATTATCAATATTATATTTGATTCCGTATTTAACCAAGAAGAGTCCAGTCAGACACACAGAGGCCTGGTCGAGAGCAAGCAGTGAATTTAAAGTTGTATATAAATACAAGCAGGGACAAATAAAAACACAAACACGTACAGATATACAGGTAAAATAAAAAGGAATATAAACGATTTAACATTGTCTTTCTGTATAGCAATTATCAAAAACAAACAAGAAGTCTTTATTTGGACTTGAAACTTACAAAATGGACGAACGGGCCCAGATGAGGATTTGAAATGAACCAGAATTGCAGTTGCTGTAGATCTAATGTCGCAAACGCTCGTGCACAGATACATTAATTAAGTTGCCACAGGTTGATGCACGGAGTCCTCTGAAGATCACATCAACCCTGTTTGGGTTTGCTTATGTAATATAATCAATACTGGGTTATGTGAGTGCTGACCAGTGATATTCTCCAGAGCTGTGTGTAGGATGCATGAGGGCCGTGTTTGTACATTGATTAAATCCTTGTAGCCTTCCTGCACCGTATATATATGTACACTGTCTATAGTGAACTTTCAAGGACGTCCCCTTTGCTTTTTCAAAGGAAAAGTCCCTCTGAGGATTTCATTCAGACTAGATCCGCCAAGTCATCTCCGAGCATCAAGGCAGCGTTGTCCAGCTGCCAGCTTCTCATAACTTCTTTTTCCAGCAGCTTAGAGCCTGTGTTGCATAGAAATGCCATATTTGCTATCACATCCCAGAGGGTATATGAGGTGACAAGATCTTAAATGGACAGTGAGTGTTTGTCCTTTAGGTAAAAACAAAAATCCCGCTCTGCGCTCCAAACTTTTCGATCACGCTGCGATTTTCAAGATGTGCCCCGACAGCTGGCTTGTCACTGGACATCACATTAGCCCTGGCATTTCATATTCCTGGTGTTTGCTGTGTGAGACAGTGACAGGGCTTCTCCGTGATCCTGAACAGTATTAATAACCAGAAAGCTTCGCCTCTACCTCACACTGCCATCCTGAATTAGTGGAGAGGATGAACCCTTGACCAGAATGTTCTCCAAGTTTATCCTGGGCCTTTGCCAGCGAGACCAAACTTCGGCTAAAGCAGAGGAGGCTACTTCGGCCTTTCTTTTAGAGACAAACTGTTTTTGTGCTTCTTTCATGGAAATGTCAGCAGGATCTTCACATGTGGCCACAGGCCGGTGGAGGAGGACAACTTATTCCTCAAATACAGGTTGTGATGTTGTGAAAAGGCCAAAGTTGTTGCCCCAGAAAAAAAAAATCTGGAAAAACAGCAGCAGATAATTTTAGTTCCAGTTCTAACACATCGAAGGAGTCAAACACAAAACCTCCTCTCGATGTACGAGCGAGCGATCGGTCTTGAATCTCAGGAGCAGAAGCGATGAGATTTTAGTGAAGTGTGTTGAAAAAAAACAAATAAAAAACCATCCTTAACTGTCCAGTGCAGTCATGCAAAGAGTTGTAGAAAAACAGTCTCCAGCTTATGGCTAAGAGGCATCAAACGGCTAATGAGTGTTTGCAAAGTAACCATTTGAAAAAGGTGTGAGCACCAGAGTGAATTACAATATTCCTCATTTGGCCAGACCCTTGAAGACAATCATGCTTGAGAGGCATAATGAGTTTGGGTAAACAACAGCTCAGATATCTGTGACGCAAACAGGCGGGCGTCATGAGAGCAACAAAGGGAAAACAAGAACAAAGCGGGATCGGAGTAAAAGTATATATTTGGTTCTTCTTGTGCAGTTTGTGAGCTTTGACCATCAAATCACAGTCGGCCGCGTGACCACCGTCTTTACGAGCGAAGCGATGCTGCAGTCGCTCGGCGAGGAATGACAAGGACGTGACTGGAATTCAGATGCTGCTGAAATGACTTTTAAATTATGAGACACATTTGCACTCTGGACTCATTCAGGTTCAACATGGCTCCAAGACAAAGTAAGACATTAAATGAACCAATATATATACACGTCTATATAAGTACCAACAATATACAGAGTTATTCCAAGTTGTCGTACTGTTCCATTACACGGTATATTGTGTTAGATGTGAATTGTAATGAGCGAATTATGGTGAAGTGATCTTAATGATGTCCGCTGCCTCGTCCCTCAGGGCAGTTGGACATTTGATGCAAAATCACCTTTATACTCAATCATATCTCAGACTTTCAGGCTCAGTCTCTCGGGTTAGAGTCACAGTCACTTTCCTAGTTTGTGGTTTCACTTGTTTGGATTGTAATCTTATCTCTGACTTGTATTTTGTGTTTTGAAGCTTTGTAGACGTTGAGATCAGGATTCAGCTTCTGACCTCTCGGCTTCAGACCAAGACGTTTAGCTTTAGACGTCAAGGTGGAGTGATTGGGTTTAAGGACGATCGTTTGGTGAAGGCATCATGACCTTGAGAAGCTCTGGTCTGTGTGTGCACAATGAATTAGAAGTCTGTGCAGCGTCCCAACAAGGATAGCGGCACAGACTCGTGTATGTGTGTGTGTGTGTGTGTGTTTGCCTGCGGAGGCCTGCATCCCTCAGCGTTTGTGCTGCTTTCATCGGAGTTGACGTTAATGTGTGAGTGTGCACACAGCGCAGCCCGGGCTTTCGCTGCGAGTTGTCTCCATGTTTGTGCCCTGCTGAAATTGTCCAAGTCATGACAACGTGCGCAGCTGTCTGCACTTCACTCACACTCCACCTGAGAGGTAGATAAAGAGTTGAGTGAAGACTTGTCAGCTTGTTTGATAACGTTTAAATCAAAGTTCTGCTCAGGGCGCGCTCGCCTGAGCCTCGTGTTACAGAGATCTGCTTCACGCCGACAACAATCTCAGCCTGAGCAGCAAAAAAAAAAAAAAAAGCTTGAGCCGGGATAATTTCAAACAGATTCTGAAAGCTTTAAGAATTGCTTAGCCTGGCAAAACTGGCAGCATTTGTGCTATTAAGGCAACTTGGTTTTACCTGTAGCCAAATAGGCTCTTTTTAAAGGTTAAGTCATAAAGTAGAGAGTTTCCAAGCACAAATGCTGAGAGGCAATCTTGGATACACACAGCGGCTGTGCCTCCGTCAGTGTGGAGATCACTTCTTAAACGGGAGCAGAATGTCAGAGTCTCTTATTAATATGAAACAACATTTCAACGACGCCGAGGTGACCTGTGAGAGAGAGCTGACATTTAAAGGTCCCGAATTATTCACTTGTCATGATTTCTAATTTAAGAATTTCTACTGATGCAAATGTGCTACGTGAGAGGAAATAGATCATTTTCCACTTTAAGTAATTTCATACTGTGTGGAGAGGTGTTACTACACATTACATCAGATATAAATCCAAGAAACAAGAACATGTCCAGGTACTTTATTTGAGCATCAATGAAAAAGTATTGAATAAAATACCATTTATGTTTTTAAATATCATATAGTCAGTACATTGACAAGTTGTTTCCCATTATTATTTGCGTCTGCATCCTTCAGATAAAAATAATACGAGATATACCTTCATAAATTCCCCATAGAGGAAATTCAGTTTGACACAGCAGTGCAGGGGAAAATGTTGAAATATATAAATATTTAGATAAAAAATAATACAATATAATACTGTATTCGCACCATAAGGGCCACATTCATCAATATGTCTCTGATCTGAGTGAAAAGACGTTTTACATCAAATATCTGTTTAAAAAGGTAATATAAAGAAATGCAGTCCTCTTCTTAGATTCTATATATACTAACATATACTCTATATACTAACAATTCTTCATAGAAACGGTTCAGATCCGTGTTCAACAAGAAGATAATTGAGATTTCAAATGTAGCGAACAATGCATGACTTGATGTGACGGAGGAAGACAGGTTCAATTGAAAAAAAAAAATTTAAATAATTTTTTTTTTATTATTTCTCCTTTAATTAACATTTTCATAATCAAAGCTTGTGAGAAGTCAGCGCGAGACACTGGGGAAGCCGGTCCACCTAAAGCCTTTCTGAGCTATCTGAGCTCTTGATGTTTCATCATCTGCTTAATTGCTCACCCTAATTTGCTTCGCTGGCGCTGTCACAGCCCCATTGTGCTGTTATCAAATCACTGGGCACTGTAATTAACTTTACATTGTAACCACCACCTCTGTTACTGCTACACTCCAGCTGTTAAAGGGTTTTAACTTCATTGTCTTTTCTTCTTCCTCCTCGCAGAACGAGTACACGTGTCCGCGCCCCCTCCCCGGTGCCTGGCTGGGAGACGTCCCTACCATCCGTTAACCTCCAGCGAAAACAAGGATACAGGAAGGCCACGTGTGACGAGAATTAGGATCCTACTTCAATTATCCACATCCAAGAATACGTTCAAAACGCTCCTTCTCGCTAACGGGGGCCGCGAAGAGGAGATGACACTGACTTTTTCTTTTTCTTAAGATTTTATAACGTCCTTCGTTTGGCCCGTGGTCACCGATCATCAGCTTTGTTGCAGGTCACCGTGCATTCGTCACACAAAAGGAGACTTGTGGGAACACAGTCCTGGTGGTGAACAGCAGAGCTTTGGGAGAACACTCATGAGCACTAATGGATGAGCAACATGGAAACTGTGTGGAGGTTATTGTCTCCATGAGGACAACGCAGCTTTGTTTTGAAAAACACTGCACCGTTTCAAGAGGCTTTAAAAAAGAAAAGTGTAAACTGAGCAGTGAATGGTTTGAATTGAAAATGCACTGAACACGTAGCTCTGGCCTGTGTGCAACATGAAGCGGTTTGCATATTCTGATTCCATATGACGCATCGTGTTTCCCATCTTTCGATAATTTTTTTTTTTTTTTTGGAAAAGACTAATCAAAGGCCAGGATGATGTAAATGTGCCTCACCGGAGCGGAAACATCACGACTCACTGGTTTCTCTCGGTGCACCTGTCGGTGACGAGGAACCTGCTTCGTCCGCTGGAAATCAAGTCAGCGGCTGGAAGGTTGTTTGAAGCGTGTGGAAAGTTACCGCAGGGAAGCGAGCGATGGCCCAGCCAACGACATCTGCTGAGGTTTCTTGTTTCGTTTGGGTTTTTCTGGTTTGCTTTTGTTTCTAATCACAATCACACCTCGACGATGTGGTTTTGATTCGGAGGACAGGGAGCGGCAATCAGACGCAAAAAGAGAGGACAAAAAAACAAAAAGCTCCTGTCAAGGGTAAATTGTAATTTTCTGCAGTTGTAATGTTGTTAATGTTGTACTTTATGAATATGTGTTTCTGCCATTTTCAACACCAAATACCAAAGAGCCAAACGTGCGTTTTTTCTGCCTTTGGCTCTTCAAACCATGGGCGACGACAGATCTCGGATCTGTTCTCCCAGAAAAAAAAAAAAAAAGAATAGAAGCCTCAACTCCTCTCACGTCCAGCAGTGCTCTTGTTACCGAATGGGCTTTTTTTCATGTGTGTAACGTGTACGTCTTTGTGAACAAATCTCGCAACGGCAGTCTTCATTAGGAAGCTCTTGTCTGAAAGATAACTTTGACCACTGCTTTACATTTTTATGACTTATTATGTTTAACACACGCTTCACTTTCCTGACGATAATCGGCCGAACCCCCCCACCCCACCCCACCCCTACCCCCCTCTTTGAAGAGAAAGCGGTTTTCAGCCATTAGACTTTCTTGATTATGTTCTGAGACGAGTTTAGTCGTGAACCTTTTGTTTCAACCTGCAAACTTCATCTTTCTACGTCGGAAAATGATAATTTTCTATTGTAAATTTCTGCTCTCCCCCTCCCCCCCTTGAATTTGTTGATATTTAGTAAGCACTTGTATTCTTTGTTCACTTTCAACAGTATGTTTTATAATGAAAATAATGACTTTACTGGTGAGCAATATGAATTGGTCAAATTAAAAATATTCATTAATCATTTTTTTTTTGTGTTGAAACTCATTTTTCTTATTTTCCTGTGTAATTCAATTCGCTTGTGTTTGGTGTTCATGTGAAATCCGTCCGCCCACAGATCTGCAGTGACGACTCTGTCACATCAACATTAGCCTCATTAATTTAGAGAGCAGAACATTGATCTCCGTTCGACCGCTCTGTTGTCACGGTGGCGCTCGCTGCTCCCCCCCCCCTGCTTCCCGTGGAATGTGTCACGCGGCTCAAGAGGGGGGCCTCGCTCACGGATTTCTGCTCCACATCCGCTGCAATTGGCACATGTCAAGCTGTCAGGCCGAGGTCCAGATGGCCAATCTGGCCGGCGCTCCCTGTGGTGTTTTCATATACTCCTCTCCACCTATGTGCCCCCCCCCACTCCCTCGTCGTGCCTTCCTCTCACTCGTGTTCGGTTTCTCCCCATTATTTATGGCGTTTCTGGTCGTCTGTATCTCCGTCTCACTCTGCTTCCTCCCCATCTGTCAAAAGGGCCACATCATCCAAGTTACAGAGATTTTCTTTTTCTTTGGTGTTATCTGTCCATGAAGATAGTTTCAGTTCGACATTTTCTTTCCTATAAATGGGATGAAAACATTGGACAGTTTCATGCAGGGCTGCAATTTATCAATTCCACAATTCATAATTGATTAATCTGATTATTCACCTTATTGAAATATCAGAAAAGTTCCTGGGTTGCATTGTCAAGTTGTTTTGTCTGTAAAAATCGCCCAAAGCCTCAAGATGTTTTAAATATAGCGTTGATCGTGTGCTTCTGGAAAACGCAGTTGAAATCATCACATCCCGATTAAAAGTTTATGAAAATGTTAAAAAAAAAAAATCACTGTGCGAACACACCAAACACCATTTGGAATTCTTGAGATTTCACCGACGGACGCTATCTCGTTAACTGATATAAAGTTGAGTATGACTCTGTTACTTGCAGGGCCGGAAATCTCTGACTCACTTACCCACTCACCAAAATGACACAGCACAAGAAAAGGCGTTTTAAGAGTGGGGGTGAGAATAGCAGGCACCATTCTTCAAAATAATTGTGAAGCTGCCTTTTTAAGGTTAAAACGTTGCATAAACAATTTTTTTTAACTTCCGGGGACAAAAAACTATTCGGACTGACTAACTGTGAGGCTCCATTTTATAACACAACTGCAAACCTCAATGACGGATGAATAATCCGATGTTCTTACTTTATATTTTGTCTGGCTTTCTGTTGGTTGGGGGAATTTTCGACAGATTTTATGCACAAATATAAAAATCCAGGTGCAGAAGAAAACAAATCTAGAGAAGAGCTGAAGTGCAGGAAAGCAACAAAATATTCGAGTGTAAGTGCACAGTCTGAGCACAGGCACAATCAGGGGATGTTTGAGTGCGAAGGTTTTCAGTGAAAACATTGAAAAATCTGAGCGTTGAATCGATGATCTCTCAAACTGAAAGGCCACGCATTGAATAGAGATGAAAAACCTCATACGTGTTATAGAAATACCTCTCTGAGCCTCATCCTCTCTTGTCTGCTGCACTTCTGTCTCCCTGCGATCATGTCTGCTGCTGTTGATCTCTGTAACTCAGTCTGCTTCTGCGACGCTGCAGGTCCAGTGGCAGCACAGACAGGCCTGTGTGCCTGAGAGCAGACATCATGCATAATTCATCCAGTCTGGGTTCCCCGCTGACCAGAGTCCAAACACTTGGCTCTCTTTAACGCCTCCACCGAGAGGCCGCCGGGATGATGTTTAACCATAAGCGAAACACACCCATCTAAGATTTATCAAGCAGCTCCTCTGACATTGTAAACATCGTAACTTTCACATGACGTCTTCCTCACTCAGCTCAGACCGGATGATGAAGTGCCAGTTTTAAGCGTGTGAAAAAAAAACCTCTGGAGAAAAGAAATGCACAAACAGGCCGAAGCAAGATTAAAGATTACGATGTAGAAACTTTAGAGAAGCTGTAAAAGATACGGAGGGAAAGATTATTGACTTCACGGCGACTTGAGAGAGGTCAGATGCTGTTGCACATTATAAACAAAATGCAACAGAGGGAAATTTCAAACCTAAGACTGAAACATTATTCAGAGAGAATCTGTCAGAGCAAGACGAAAAAACAAAGATAATCAGCGTCCCTTCTGAGCCTCTATATTGTTTTATCCCTCAGAAGATTTTTATGATTGGCAAAGCATGAAAGAAAACAGCATAACAAGTCGATTCTCGTGTTCCTCCTCCTCTTCTTCTTAATTCCCTTCAAACACTGATAACTTTGCTTAACCTCTCGGCGCCTGACTCACCATTGAATCACTCTTTTATTTAAGGCGTGTTAATTACATTTGACATTCCAATGCAAAGTTTCATTCAGGAGCCATTCATGAATGTCTGTGCCTCTCGAGGAATGACTCCCAATCTCTCAAAACCTCCTAATCTCAAAACTTGTTCAGCTCGGCTCAGCGGGTGGCTCGCGCAACATCTACCGGGGCGTTTGGAGCAATTAGTCAACGTCTGTCCGGGAGAAGTGAGTTAAAATACCAAACTCCATCACTAGACTAACGAGTCTGTTGTGTCAGCGCCGCTTTTTTCAAAGCAGCAAAATCGCTGCTTTTGCAACCCACCAGCAGAAGTGGTGTTCAACAGATCATCTGCTTCAGCCATCTGCTCCTGACTGGGGGACTGCAGGGTTCCTGTTGAGATCATCTCCGATAGCATCATCGCCAACTGCTGGTCTAAAGCTTTTTCCTTCGCATTCGCCTCCTTCTTTCAAACCTTCAATCAGGATGAGCAAACAATGCCATGGCAACGAAGGAGGTGTTTACTTTCTGACCGTGAATCATCGATTCTGAGCATGCAGCCCAAACAGCGTTTGAACCTTCAGAGAGAGAAGTTTTCAAAGTCAAGAGTTTTCACATCTGCAGCCTGAAGCCAAAGTGTCTTGATCGCCTCCTGGTGGCTGGCTGCAGTGTGGGTATTAAACCCCTCCGAACCATGGCAGTTCAACGCACTGCAAATAGAAAAAACACGAGCACTTTAAAAAGTCACAACACAAGCAAATAAAGAAACGCACTGCAAAACGTGAAAACGACACCTGGAAATGTTTGCAGGGGACCCAGAGAAGTGAGGAACCTGTCTGCAGTTCGATGTTTGATTTTTCCAGCACCTGCGACGCCAAATTTTTGCAAGAATTTTTTTCTATTTGCATGTGTTTTCTTAATTTGCAGTGCGTTGAGCTCTCACAGCCACCGTACCTCCATGTTAGTGGATGCGACCAAATTAAAAAGTCAAAATGAATGTTCAATAAGTTTCACTCAATGATGGTTCCTGTTATTTTAAGTAATTGTTATCACACTTTTTACTTTTTATGGTAAATTTGGTTTTAATTTCTTATTTGATGTTATGAAAACTGGGTAAAACTATCGATCAATCCTTCTATAGCCACGGCACGTACTCTGCAAACAAGCGCTTTCTTTCGGACGTTGGATATCATTAAGCGATGTCTTCGTCCCACAATGTTGGTTTGGAGAAATTTCTAAACTAACCTGTTGGGAATCAGGGCATCCAGAAGGAGCTGAATTACAATAATCTCATTCATGAGAAAGTGATTTATTTCAGGAAATGTGGAATATGTTGATATTCCGGGAACTTTCACCTTTTCCTCAACTCAACTACTAATTCTCCACCTTGGTAGATAATCCACTATCTGTTTCATCTGGACTGGAGACGGATGAATCTAAATTGGATAATCCATCTGATCCCCAGGCAAAGATATATTAAAATTGGAAAATTCCTGCCTCGGAGCCAAATGTTTCTTATTATGAAAAAGCATGTAGCAGTGATAAGCAGATGACCATCAGAACCAGGACATGGAGCTTAAGGTTGTTCTTGATTGCAGAATAAAGCCCTGAACAGGAGCTCAGCAATAGTGTCATGAAGCTTCCTCATAAGACTTTTGCTTTTCGGTGAAATAGTTTTCTAATATTTAGCTGAAGTCTTTGGAGAGACTTTGAATGTTACTTCTTCTGCTATATGAGACGTATCGGTTTTTCCCTTGAAACGAATAATATGGGAAAATAATGGCGTGAACGGGCTGTGAGCAAAACAGTGAGTCGGAGTTTGGACCAATAAGAAAACAAAACAACAAGCATCAAAAGTAATTTGGCCCGTAACGCTCAAACATGAGAATCTGTCGATAAAAAAGCACAAGAGCAAAACGATGCACTCGACCAAAATACAAATAAGCTCATCCACAAGAAATTAACTCACAATCAATACGTATACAAAGGAAGCACCTGAGATAACACTACACCATGAGAGAATAAATAACATCATATCAACACACGAGCTAACAACACATCGATGAAACAGAAGCTTCGTGCCTTGTTGAAGAGCAGCACTGATTTCTGGCCTGTCAGCTGATGGTAAATCAATCTCTCGGAAATATAGGTGTTGACAACAGACCCGAGTTCTTTAAACTTTCTGACTCATATCGTCGCTATAACATGAGTCTGGATCTTTTTGGTTCTTTGAAGCAGCTTTGAAGTTTATCTGGAGCTGTAGGAACTGAATCAATGAACCTAAACCCTGCAAGAGTGCATCTTAGCTGCATCTCTTTGTGCTGCAGACAGAAACACATTTCTGCCCCAGAAAATAATTTCTTAAGAGACTTTCTCAATGATGTTGGAGCAATAATTGGCAGAAGAGTTTTTTAGAAGAAAGCACACGTTGATGCAGAAGGGCAAGAAAAGCAGAGCTTTTAGAAATCAGCGTACAACACTCAAGATGTTTGTGAAAGGCTTCATTGTGTTACTCTGCCAATTTGGAACCATCAATTTTCTTCCATGTGCAAAAAACCTCTGGTACAGTTTGTCCAAACATTATTCCCTTATGGTTAAAAATGCGCCTCATTCATGATCAAGTCCCTCTAACGAGGGGGACTGTGTGGACAGGAAAGGATTACAGGCCATAAATGTTTAGATACATACCCAATTACTGGTTTCAGATAAAAATCTCATCTAATTGCCCGGACTGTACTCGTTTAAAATGTTCTTCTGATCTGCAGTACTTCTCGTCTAATAAGCCACGTTGATGCAAAATAGCCGGCAACATGAAATATTATACAAGTTTCGTTTCTAAATGATTCCATAAAATATGCAGCAGTGACTTTGTACTGATGATGACAATAATTGCTTACCTTAAAGGTTGGATGGTTTCCCGCTTGGAAACAGGGGATAAGCCTGCAGGCCATATTTTATGTCCCCATGTCCTAACCTCACCCCAGGGCCACAGCCCTGTGCAGGACCAGGGCCTGAAGTGTTTCTCTGTAATGTTGTCTTTGTTGTTGCACCTTGTTGTTGGCAGAGATGCAGTCTGATAAGGAGCCAGAATCGAGAATAGAAAGCACTGAGCACATAAAAAGTGTATTTTCGTATTTGTCATTTAGCTGGACTTGGCCAGAAATACTAATGGTTTAGTGTCAATTAGGCGAAGCATGATTTAATTCAATAATTCAGTATAATTCAATTCAGCAGACTTGCCACTAACAAGCTGTTCATCAAGCATCTGAATTTCCTTTTCCAGCCTCATTAGCCTTACAGCTCAATACTGCATTTGCTGCTCCGAATTTTCTCTTTCAATCTGTTTATTGCACAATGCAGACAAAGAACTTTACAATCAGCTCACCTTCTTCTCTATTTCGCCACTGGACGGGACATCGGATGAAGGATTTTCTGTAGGAGTGGATTCCTGCCAGGGTCACCTTCAGTTGCAACGCAGCAGGCAAATTCATCCGAACAAAATTCAACACCAACGCTGACCAACTGCACCTAAATACAGAAGAACAGAGCAAATGGAAATAGCATCTTTACTCTCAAACAACTCTTTCCTGAATACAAATAATTGAGATAAACAGCCTTTTGGATCTTTTGGCACATAAAACACAAAGATATAAAGTCTTCTACCTTCTGTAATTATTAAAATATGCATAATGAAACATGGAAACGTTTCATAAATATTGTTGCTGGGCCCAAATAAAGTTTATTAATAAATAAAAGTGGAAAACAACCATGGGCGATCACAATACTCACAGAACTGCAAAACAACGCATCACACATGCACAACACAAACATGAAAACATTCACAGCCTTGTCAAGTGGCATAAGAATGCATTAGAGGACATTGACTCTGCCAGATTTCCCTGAGGGCTTCTCAGGCCTAAAACCTCAAAAGCTCGAGCTCTCTGTGACTTCTCTGAGCCCACCTGATTAGAAAGTCTTCGAAACAGGAAGCAGAGACCCCACAGTCAATGCAGAGTCCGACCGGGAGCCAGTCAGACAAATGAAGACCATGCTAAGGTCAGGTTTTCTCTCTGAGCAGCAAGAGCTCCTGCAACTGTCTTCAGTTTACAAGGGAATTTCATACAATTGATCAGCTGCTAAAATCCAAATGATTTTCGGAGACAGAGCTGGTAGCTTATTTTCAACAATGAAATCACTGGGCTGTGTCTCCTAAGGGGGCACGTTAAGGATAAATTAGACCCAGGATTAAATCCAGTGACTGCACAACTTGGGTAGACTGATGCAACAGCCTTTTAGAGCTTAGATTCTAATGAGTATGACAAAAATGTTTGCACTGTATCTGAATTCAGCTGTTATGACCCTAAATAACTAGAAGGAGACAACGTCAGCCAGGCCGGGTCACCACGTCAACCAGGAGCCAGTGGACAGAAAAGTCAAGTCGTTCAATCTCCATCGCACCCTCACATTCGATATATGTCTTGTTATCCTGTACAGTTCCATTCTTTGTTCACAAGACGAACCCTGAACCAACTCCATTCGATGAAGCAGAGTGTGACGTGTGGTTTAAAGCTCAGACTAAGCTAAGTGCTCCTTCAATCTAATTTGTCGTACACAAATTGACCTTTCCTCACCTTTCTTGTCGATGTGATGTCTCAAGAATGCCTTGAGGGAATCCTTTCACATTTTCTACAAAGATTCAATTTGATTTAAAAATGTACTGATTTAATTTTGGTAGCCAAAGGTCAAGGTCCCGATGGAGTTTTCTTCAAAGTGATATCTGAAGATCAACTGGAAGTTTGGTACAAATACTCACTTGGACTCACTGTTGACGGAGGCATACAAATGGATTGCCTTTGTCTCCAGGCACCAAAATCGAATCAGTTCATATTTGAATCGAAGCGAATGTTTGCACCAAATTTAAACAGATTCCCTTGAGGCATCCTGGAGATATCTTGTTCACAAGGTGAAAAAAATCTTGTTCACAAGATGAAAACATGTTTTTTACCAAACTTTCCCTCAGGCTGATATCAAGATATCACGTTCAAGGAAAAAATCAACTTGCTTCGTGAGGCCACAGTCGTGTCGTCCGTCTTTCAGTCATTAGGTCTGTGCTCAGATTAACTTAACGGAAACTACAGTTTTAACAACATCAACATTCAAACATAAACTGATTAGAAAGAATAAGGTTTTCAGGACTGAGACTAGAAATACTATCCAGACAGATGCTGGTGCATATTGTTTTCCCAGCAGTTACTGTCGCACCACCCGAGGGCAGAGGATTCTTCACTGCATCCAAGCATGTGTTCTTTTCCTGGACTCCCACATGTGGGGCGAAAAAAAGAAAAGAAATGCTCTTTCTATTTGACTGATTATCATGGATCCATGTTTCTCTTGCAGAGGGCCACTTAGAGCAGCTGGCCTATAACAGAGAACTTATCGTAAAGTGAACTAACGACTGGAAAGACGTGATTCTCACACAGCTCATCACAAAGCCTCTTCGCCTTCAGCTATTGTAATGGTTGGCAAAGACTATTTTTACATCGTGCTTCAGTTCTGCTGCAGATTTGCTTTTTATGTACATTTCTCACATCTGTGTGCTTTCCTGTTTGTCGTCATCGTTGTCACTGCCCTTGGGGCAGAGTCGGAGATCTGTTGGAGATGTTAGTTCTGGTTTGGTGGCTTGGTAATGTTCTGCTTGGGCATCATCCTCAGAGGATATCTATACACCTTGTTGCACATGCATTTGTGCTAACCTGAGTGGAAATCGGTCTGTCAGATTTGTTCTGGCACAGACACTGCGCTGCGTATGGAGAGTTGTTGGATTGTTGGCCTCGATTCAGCCTGGACGAGTTTAAAGAAAAGAACAGGAAGCTGATCCAGTGCAGGCGGCGATAACAAAGACAAATAGTGGGCCTTGGCACCTGATTAACGTTCAATGATCAGTGAGTGTGGGTGGATACTCTCCAGGACTGAAATAGGGACTGAAAAGAATCCTTTCATTCAACAGTGCAATCAAGTGATAAAGTTCAAACCACTTTTTCTTTCTAGTTCTTGCAATTATATCTACAAGAGAGAGCAGACTTCCGTCTCGACTGTGTTGTCCTCTGAGAATTGCCCAATATTTTCTTCAAAATACATTCATAAAAAGATGAGTTAAAAAAATAAATGGTGCAGTGGGTCGATTAACTTTCGAGACAGAATGCCAACATTTCCAAACTTAAAATTGATAAGGAAAACCCAGCAAATCCATGTCAAATGACTTTTAATGCGATAATAATCCCAAATAATGGTTTATCAAAAACGCATTTTTCCCCCTTTGTTTGTGTGTCTGTCTGCAGGATTACTCAAGAACTGCTGAACCTGGAGTCGTCGGAAATGACTCACAATAGAGCCCATTCAATTCTGAAGTGGATTCGCACAATGTAACATGGTTCTTTTCAGCTTTTTCCATAAATTTGACAAAATCTTATGTGTCATTTGACCTCAATACATGCAATATGGTGATAAAGTGGCATTTTCAGCCTAGTGCAGGTATGAACTCATAAATATGTACTTCTAGTTGAAGGGGAGGGTAGTGATCTGAGATGGGTGGACACCTGACGTCGAACTTTGAATGAGGCACATCACATCTGAATATGCAGCCGCACAAATGACTCATTTAGTTTTCAAAACAGACTCATAAATCAGAAACTAAGTTTAAATCAGCTGAAAGAGGAGCAGAGGCCATAAGCACAGCGTCGCCATCTTTACTGAGAGCCACTTGATTTGTTATTTGCATAACAATAGAAGAAAATGCAGTGGAAACATAATTACCACTGTTGAATCAACCCCTTGCTGACATAATTTGAAGTAATGAAACTTTGCATGGGGAAGTATTTAATCCCTGTTTCCTTAAAGAAAAAAGCTGGTTTAACCCGGAGAAAATAGTTGTTTACAGTCACATATACTGGTCACACTGTACTGCAATGAATGAATTTTTAAAGTTAATGTTGTTGCCTGAGGGGGAAACACTGAGGCAAGTACCACGACAGGTGTTTACAGAGGCTACAGTAATTGCAGCAACATTACTTTGAATCATTACTGGAAATCTTTTATTGGATGTTTGAGGAGAAAAACTCTGCACAAGATCCACACGGTGCAGAGCAGAGCAGAGTTTGATGCTAACAGATGGGGAGTTGTTTTTTCTTTTGCATATTTTGTTTTGTTTTATGATGGAATATTATTTCCCCTGAATTAAGAGATGTGTGTAGATGAAATGATGTAAATTTAAGCACCTTGTTACGGCTTACACTTACATTTTATTGCAACGTGATCTCTAGTGGCCAAAGTAATTATGAAGTCAGGTGTTGTGGTATAAAGCTTGAAAGCGTTAGCAGGAGGTTGCTCTTGGACAAGAGGGTCAACACAACACTGATTAATCAAATTCAAATTTAATTTCCCACATACACCGACCATACACAGCACGACGTGCAGTGAAGTGCTTCTCTGTGACACTTCTCCACATGAACATAAGATTAGATAAAAAGATTTAAAAAAACACTTCACTATTTTGCAAAGAAAATACACATAAAGACAATATTCATATATATACATATATGTAGTGCACAAAAAGATCAATGCACCTTTTTTAACATTGACAAAGCCTTTTTAGCGTTGCCATAGCGATGAAGAAGAAAAAGAAGTGCTGATTTTAACTCGAAGAATTTTTTAACAAAGAATTATTCATAAACCTTTAACCAAAAATAGCTGTGACATTATAATGGCAGGCTTCTACCTTGAGACGTGACAGTTCTGTAATCTACATAAACACTTGAGAGTCTAAATGTACGGGAGGATTATGAGACTCCGTCTATCTCATAACAAATCTAGAGATCGGATCTATGGGAGGGATTGACTGAAAAATGACTCTGCACACACATCTGAGCTCAGAATGTGTCAGAGAGACAGATCTGATCTCCGACTACGGGAGTCGAGGTCAAGAGAACAGCGTCTGTGATTTTTGCTTTATCAAGTCAGCCACCTACCTGGGAACCAGCAGCACAGCTCACATCAGGCTGACGTCTTGTCAACACAGACAGCGCACATGAATTAGTGTAGAGACTTTCAGGTTGTGGCCTGTCTGTGCTCAGTCTGATCATTAAAGTTGATGTCTGCATATAAAACGAAGAATCTGTATACCAACAGTCCAGATGTAATGTTTGGGGGGGGGGGATACACCTTATGAAGCTTGTAAAAAATATTTCTGAGTAAAAGCTTCATGATTTATTAAGGGTACGTTGGTGAAATCTCACATCGACGATGTTTAAAAAAATTATTACATACGAAAAGGATTTTTTTCTCCCGCACCTTTGCACTGTTGGTAGTTCAGCCATCAAAAGCTTCAGCGTTTGCAGTGGTGGTTTATTTAACCTTGGATTCAGCAGACTTAATTAAATGCTCATCTTTCACAAGGATCATGAATTAACACCAGAATCCAAGGACCTGAATTGCATTGACTGGAAGAAAAAGTGACAAGGCACAATGCCAAACCCGCAGATGGCACGTTACCGTATTCACGCCTTAAGCCGATGAGGACATGTACCATAAGAAGAAATCTTAGCACTGTGATGTCCCTGAGATAGCTCCCCCATCTGTTTTATTCTACGTCGAGTCAGGTCAGGAAAAAGCAACTATATCTTACAGTGTATGGCTTGATTTTGTTTCACGAAATTAGAAAATCGTGTCCACCATGAGAACAAATTACCCTTTTGACTGTCAACCTAACGACCAAATCAGAGACCAAATGGAGCAGAAAAACTTGCTGTGTTTAGAGACAGGTTGTTGGCCTTGTATCAGCCTGAAAAGGTTTAAATGAAACCAGGGAGAACAGGCAGTTGATTCAGTGCAAGCTAGTGATAACAAAAACAAATAGCAAGCCACAGCGCCGATGGAGTCCATCCAATGGTCAGCAGGCGTTGGAGCGACTCTCTGCAAGAGACACGGGGGCTGACAAAATCCTTTCCATCAACTGTGCAATCAAGTGATAGCGATTAAATCAATTTCTCCGGGGACGTTATCATTGGGTGACTGCTTCATCCATCGTGCGATCACTGGATTGAACGTTGGTGGTTTTGTGGGTGCACAAACGCACATGTGGCTCTGCTCCAAGCCTCTCAAGCAGGTTTTATGGCTCTCTGGGAAACAATGCAAGGCACACAATAAGAAAGCCCCCGTTTCCCGTGGCAAACTGGTTTACACACAGCATGATCGCTCTGAAGCTCTAAAGCTCACAAGCACAAACCTTAATTCAAGATCTCGATATTAAATCTCTGGAATCTAGAACAAATGAGGTGAACTGCTGCTTATAGTGCGTACTCCGGTTGATTGATATGGAGAGTTTAAATGAGTAAAATACAATATTTTAAAAGATGAAATGAAAAGTGAAAGCTTAAATCGCTGACTTCCTCCAGTTTTATTAGAATTTTGTAAACATGAATTGTATGATTAAACCGGTTAATGAATAAAGATCACATTGTATCCAATTTGCTAATTTTACATAAATATATATTTCAATATGTCTAAAAAAAAAAATCTAATTAATTTATTAATAAGCATTTAAATCTGTAATCTATAAAACCATCTTTACAGAGCCTCAACAACACAGTTAATTCTGTCTAAATCTAAACCGATCATAGGAATATATGACAATTTGTTAATCAGTTAATAAAATTAAACCAAGTAGATTTTGACACTGAAGCAGCGAGAGAACAGCAGCGAGCGGCCGACAGGTACCGTCACCGAGCTGGTGTTTGCTCTGCAGGACACTTTCAATGTGCAGCTCAGCTTGCTACTCCTCCAGGGCTCGAGGGGCAGAGTTTAGACAGCACTTCCAGAGCTGCTCGCTGACCAGATTCCACCGCGCCGCTCATGTACCCACACCACTTGGTGGCTGTTTCCGTGCCGGCCCAATGGATCCTGTAAATCAAGATACTCTGTGAGCCACGTTCCGAACACCGTGCTTCATGTCGCTCTTTGAAAAGGCATTTATTTTAATTCTCTATTGGAGTAATTAAATCGCTTTCAGAACATTAACACAGTGTCCTAAGCCATTAACATTCATTTGCATTGTAAGTTTTATGGGGCACATGAGATCACTCTGATGAACTGATACAGTAGTTTTGCACTTTAACAAGTCTCTGTTGGCTCAGATATTCCATGTCTCTGTGAAAGTAAGTACACGCTCGACAAATCAGGCTGCTGAACCATGTAGGGGTTACTGAGAAGAACTCAGTAACAATACTTCTCTCCGTTCCCTTCTTCTCTCTTCCTAATGTCATTGAAAAACAACTGACTACTAATACTTTTCAATGACTAAGGTGCAGGAAAGAAAAATAATGTTATTGAAGGGAGACACGATAAAAAGTAATTGATTCTTCTTAGAGATTAAATTACTTTTCAAATAACAATATAACATTTCTGGTCCGAACATCACGTCGCATGAGCGCACAGCCTACGGTGCTAGAGTGGATGTAGCTTCACCACTTACATGCTGTGAGTCTGTAGGAGGCTGAATATTATAGAGCGAGAGGAAAAGAACATGATGGCAACAAAAGCGTCTGACATTTGGCCTTATTTAAAAAGTAGAGAGAAAAGGTGAGTGTCAGGAGTTTTGTGAGAGGAGAAGCCCTGCGGCTACAAAATCTATGGGAAGAAAAGCTCAAACCTGAAGAGACACCTCTATGTGAAGAGCACAGAACCTGAGGTGACCTAACATTGGCTTTTTGAATGACGTTACTTTACTTTGAAAGCTTCTTTAAGCTGGGCACTTTGTTGAATTGGCATTTTACAACAATGGAGCATTTCTACCTCGCTTGTACGTGAAGCTTCAGTCACCTCGTCTAACGTTCTACGGCTTCACAAGTTTAACAAGCGACACATCATTAGGGAGAGAAAAAGTTTGACCCAAAACCTGAAAACATAACTTGGCTGTCGCAGGGGCCTAATGCCGTGTTTACACCAAACCAGAAGTGTGACTTTGGCCACAGAATCGTTTGGATTTACTCGCTGTGCTGGCACAAGCAAATTAACGCAATCTGTTGACTTGTGCCCGTTCTCCAAGTAAACATAGTGACGCTGCCAATTGCTGCACTTGAAGAAATTAAACACGATTGCTCTGTGGAACTGAAGATAATGCGTCACTGAGCCCTTTCAGCGATTGCATTATGAAAATGTACCACTACCAACCATCCGATGGAAGAATCTTAGTTTTTTTTCTCTAAAATCTGTAATCCATTGAAAAGGAAGGAGAGTTGCATCTTGTAGCTCATCCTATTACCTGTGTCGTCAGTTAAGAGGTAGGAACCAAATGTTAGTCTAATGGAGAAAAACAAGGTAACATCATCCGTTGATCTTTGGAAAACCCCACACAGCACGAAGGATTAAACTCAATGTTCCTTCAGTACTGCTGGTGCAGTGCTAAGTAAAGATTACTGTTGTGGATCACAGATTGAGGTGCTTCTCCTCTGGCTTCTGTGGCCGCATTGATTGGGAAAGGGAGGCTGAGCCAAAGCCCAACATGAACAGTTCAACCTTTCAGCTGGAGTCTTTCAATGGTCCAATCCACCCGGTGAGAATGGAGCAGCAAAGGTGAGAACAAAAGTGCAATTGCTGGACCTGAATTCCTTTTGTCTGCTCCAAAGTTGGTCACCTTGCGAGTACTGATTGATATCCAAACCAAGTGCGTAACAACCTCTCCAGATAATAGACAGGCCACCTTCCAGGAGGTTAGAGTGCACTACAGGAAGTAGTCAGTCTCTTATTTAGAAACTGCAGTCCAATTGTTCTCTGATAAGCCAGAAAACTAAAAGAGGTGAGTAGTAAGCTCTGTGCTTTATGAGCGTTTGTGATTCTGCATGCCTCAGGGCGGGAACATGCTAATGCAATATGCATACAGATCATTTAGATAAGTTCACATCTTCCTTTAGTCTCCAACCAGTGATTCAAGATAACATTTCTGGGTTTTTTTTGTTACAAACCAACCCCCTGAAGAGAAGCTGTATTGACTTGAAACTTACTTCTGCACTGCAACATGTTTTTTGAGTTTTGGGGAAGGTGTGTGGAATAATTAAAATTCCTCACCTGAGTCACCCGAGTTTCATCCATTGAGCAGTGGAGACATACACATCACAACAAGGCAGTGAAATTCTGTCTGATGGTCTGATGTCATTACATCAAGGCAAGTGTAAAAACAACAGGTGGTGGTCTGGGCGAATCGAGAGGTCTGCGTGACAGCAAAAGGTGAAAACAGCTGAGAAAGTCCTGGACGGGCTAATTTACGAAGCTCCAATCTGCCAGTGATGCATTTGGTCAATTCCTTCGACACCTCTGCTGATGTGAAATCTCAAAATTGAATTCACGTGTGAGTAAGAATGCTTTTTTCAAAGGGCTGGGGAAGTAGATGAAGAGTTTAAAACAGGTTTCTGTGAACTGAAAAGCTAAAAGGCTGATCAGGATGTATAAAGAAAATATCAGGAGGATACATGAACGCTGTCTCACCCGAAAGCCCCGGCAACATACGACTATATATCGATTATATTTAAGCAATATGTTTTATATGAAGGCCTATTCTTTCATAATCCCAGCTCCATTCAACGCTTAAATCCTCAAATGCACTCACCATCCCATAAAATTTTTATATTTTAAGGTTCAATTGGAACCATACCAGCCCTTACCCCCGTCAGCCAATCAGGAGTGGAGAAGGACTCCCCTCTTTCCACCTTTAGTCTGTCCAGAATCCTGTGATGATTAATTAATGCTGTTACAGCAGAGTTATCCTGCAAGTGTTGCAGCTACGCTCCTTTAAACCAGGCTGTTGTCGGCGTGTGTGCTCTCTGCATGCTGCCATCAGTGCCTGTCAAAGATAGTCTGTGAGAGGATAACTTTGGCTCTGCAGCGCTGGCACGCAGACACGAGTGAAAGTGTTTCTTTAGTTCAAACAAATTCACCAGTGAGACGACGTCCTTCCAGCAGATCATTCCCTGTCACTGTCAGGGGTGGCGTTCTCCCCATTCAACTTTCATTCGTGTCATATCAATAATTTAAGCTTATAAACTTTTTATTTTTGAACCATGACGTGGACCCAGAAGCTCATGAAAACTTAGAAGCAGTGTGTTGTATCACAGCATTTGACACATTTAACGAACTTTTAATTAACGTAATAATAATGATTGGATCGGACAGATAACCAATGAGATGCTCCTGTTCAAAAGCTCTTTGTTGCTACAAGATGCAACTTGAGATTTCATCTGCGGAATACCTGAGAGGTCGGGAACTCAGACTGAGAGGACTGTTGACAACATGTCAACGAGCTTGGTGTTGGTATTGCTCACCAGCTGCCCGTCCACTCAAAGGTCTTGCGGTATGATTGGTCTCAAATTGATGGAAAAATGTTTTCTTCAGTTGCCTGACATAACAGAGTAATTACAGGATTCACGAGCAGCAGATAGTTGTACAAATTGGTTTGGAGGAAGTTCTGTAATAGCTGAATACAGCAGTGCCTCAGAGACTGTGATAAACCGGGAGATGACCCAGACACAGGATGAACAGAGGATAATGTGAAAGGGAAGCAATGCATACACCGTGTGTATTAATGAGAGATGACATAGAAAAATCAGTTAACACATTTATTACAGCAGCTTGCACAGCAGGTGGTGGTGAACAGTAAAATGAGCAGCAGCATTATAGACGACAGATTGAAGAAAACAGCCCGTGGCCTCGATTGAACTTGATTGGCCCCTTGTTTAAATCGGTGTCTGTGAGATAAGCGTTAACTGACACTGCTCATCTGACAGCAGCCATGACTTCAATGCAACACTGTGAATACGGTGGTCTGAGATTAATCCAAGCTCCCGAACTGGGAATAAAGATAAAAGAATCCCTCTGAGCCACTGGGACATCATTTTGACCTCTGCTGTATACAAACTCCTCTTCTGTTGGGCTCAATTTAATCACATTTCCCAGTGGGCTCAATGAAATAATATAATAGGAGAGGAACAAAATGGGTTTGGAAAGAAATTGCTCCTCATTGTCACATTAAACACAACAGACCAAAGGAGGGATGAGGCTTTTCTCTCTGTTTCTATTATTATTCCTTTCTTGAGCATTTCGTGCTCTGGAATAAACTGGTGTTGCTGACATGACAGCTCCACACAGGTGAGGCCAAATCATCGAGAGGTCAAAATCCTCCATGTTAGTGAATGGGCCTTTTTAAAATGTCGAATATTTTTTCTGTCATTTTAGTTCTTATCACAGTTTTAGTTATTTGACGCTATAAAAATGGGTTGGACTTCCTGTTGGAAGGCTGACATTGACTCACGATTGGTCCAGCGCATGTATGGGTGGGACCTTTTCACTGTGGCTCCACACAACGATCGCTACTTCGCAGACTCCTGCTCCTCCTTGTGTACGAAACATTTTGTACAATGGGAGGAAATGATGTCAATCCTCATTAACACTCTATGGATTTTAACTGTTATAGAATATAATGAAATGCCTTGTGTCTATATATGAAAATAAGAAATGTACAAACTGACGGATTGAGTTGCATGTTAAGTCTGACAGGATGAATTCCTCTGACGCTTCCTCGCATCATTATCTTCGTCTATTTCAGAAGTGTGTATAATTCCCTGGTGTAAAGGTTGACTGCAATAGACTTAGTTTACATTTTCGTCAAGATTTCAAGAAATCAGTAAACTTTTCTCTCTGCGGACTCGTGGGATCTCTTCTCTATTTGGAGTTGGTGCTTGTGATAGTGAGAAACACGGCATCTCCAGCGGTGTGCAGGCAGATCTGTGGTGTTAGTGCTCAGGGTTCTTTTACCCTGCGTTTCAGCAAGTGAATGTTACTAGAAGATGGGGAGAGACATTTTCCTTTGCCCCATGGCACCACAGGTTTCTTACAATTTTCCTCCTTCATAGGTTTCCATCACTGGTTGAAGAAAGTGAGGATGAACTTATTTTTATTGGATTGTCTTGTATAAACAGATCCTTTACTGTTGGTTTTGTGGAGGTATATCACAACCACACTGTATGTGTCGACAGGGCTGGATCCTCTCAAGGCTTGTTCATGTATTTAGGTGTTGATTTCAGGGTTTTTGGGGTGAGACAGGATTACTTGTCACTACTGCGCTAAAAGTCCGATCTTATTAAACTTTAATCTTTTTTTACCATTGACCTTTCAAAGCCACCTTGTTTGGTGCAGATGTTCTGACTTTTCAGTTTGATCCGAAACAAAACAACAGCTGTGAAAGGTTTCTCGGACCGATGAAAATTTTGTCAGATCAAAACAGATCAAAGCACTTTTGAACAGTTGAGGCTTTCGTACCAAAATCTGCCCCAGGAAAAAAAGTGAGCAGCAAACTGTACATTTTCACTATCTCCGGCTACACGAAACCAGGAGTGCTGTTGCTTTAATGAACTCGCTTAACTCCATTTGGAATCGTCAATAATTTAAAAGGTTCTCCGTTGGATATGGAAGATGAAAGCTGGTTTCTAAGACTTTTCATCTGATCTTAAGGTCAGTATCGCTCTTAAACTTGCTGGGCCTGCCTCAGACAGTTTAAGCCTCTGACTTGATCCGTCAGTTAGGATCTTCTCGTGGGAGATCTGCTTTACTCACCAAAGTAACCTGGAGCAAGTATAGTTGGAGCAGGATTAAGCAAAAACTACACAACCAATTTCCTCTGAACTTGGTGGAGGGATGGGGCCTGGCTCAGGGAACAGCCGGTTATATTTTGGTGCAGATGCAAGGTAAGGAATTTTTTTACCACTTTCTTCAACATTGCAACACGGACCATTTTGCAACATTTTGTAATTTTTCAGGGAATAGAACACAGATCTCTTATATTTCTACTTTATGAGCGAGACAATCATGTGAAGGGTTGTTTGGCCTTCGCAGAGGTATGCTCTCTACTGACTGTCACTCTTGTTGAGTCTGTATATTTTCTACGCAGTGTTGTGATAATTGTTTCGGCCTTGGAGACTCAGACTTGGATACATATTTCCGAGCCTCCCTCCATCTCATGTATTAGTCATTGGCTACATCTTCCCTTTGTTAATACACAAAATCCATTTTCACATTTATAAAGTGTCTCAGCCTCCTCCTCTTCTCGTTCTGCTAACCATCCTTAAATCGGCGTAAACATTTTATGTTACCGCCTGTATTTCTCGAGACGTTCTTGAAAAGAGAATCAACATATTTTTAGCTCTGCTTCTCTGATCACATAAAAGACCCCCTGAGGAGTAATTTTAATGTTTTCAGGATGAGGAGCAGAGTTGCTCTTGCTCCTAAAAGGATCCTGAAATGGCCGGGAATCTGACTGTCGACACCCAGAGATGAATTTCGAACCCTGCAGAGCTCAGCCTGTGAGCTCCGCATGTAATTATTAGCGTTAGGTGCTGTGACTAGAGTTATGGGATATAATTATCGCTCTTGGTGAAGAATAAACCTGTAATTTTTTTAATTTACTGAATTTCTGTGTCATAGGCTGAACGAACTTATCCTCCGTGGTTGGCGGCAATTATCCAAATAACGTAGAGGAGCAACAACAACAAGCATTTTGTCTGGTTTTTGAAAAAAATCTGCTTCTCACAAAGCAACTGTGCTGTGTTTAATACACTCAGGGCCTTTACTTAGTAAAGCACAGACCCACAGGGGTAAATTTTATTCATAGTTTCTTGGCAGCGATTCTGCTTCTTTCTCACTCCCCTCCCCACTCTCTCTCTTACCAGAGGGCCTCTCACATACTGACCACTCATGCAGGCATATATCCACCTAGGATAATCACTCTAATTATACAAACCACACTGGTCATTATTGAGATTCATGCTATTCCGAATGAAATCCCTTAATCCAGCGTACACCACTGGAATGGGCTGTGCTGTTAAATACAGTATGTTTGAAGCGCCGGCTGCTTCTTTTTTTTTTTTTGTCAGAGGACTGTGGAACCTGGCTTCATTACATGTGCTGGATTAGTGTCAAGGTCATAGCGTGTCCTTGAAGATCCATTTCCTATATGGAGTGGGAATATGGATATGGGCTACTGCCCCGTGCCGCTGTTTGAGTCATGTTATGTAATGAGCTTCTTCTGCTCCCTGTGGACTTAATGCCATTATGGAGATGAATTACCTGGCTCCCCCTCCCCACCTTTCGCTCTCGTTCATTCGGCTCGGCGCATCTCTGAGCAGGCCATTAGAAATGGATTATGGGACGTTTTCCTCTGAGAACACCAGCTCCTGTCGACCTCTTGCCATTTTGTTAGAACCGGACTAATATGTTTCCGTGAAGGCATAATCACTCCCACGACTCATGTCTACGCTCTGCGGGCACTGGGTGCTTGTTTTTGTGCTGTAAAAATAGTTTAAACATCCACCAACCACAGACCGTATCTCTCATAGAGGGATACAATCTACAAACTCAAATTTTTGCTGTTAAAAAGATTTATATCAAAGAATCCATCACGCTGGTGCACTCAACAATATCCCTCTGCATAACCTTTTGTTTTGGTGAGAACAAAGAGGAAGGAGGCTCTTCAGAGTATAGATAGATGTAGAGGTGTGTGGCTGCGCTGTATTTGTCATCAGCTGTGTGATTACCTGCCACAGGGCTTCCTCAGGCTCGGGTGGTAATATGTTAGCAGACCTGGTGCCATGACGTTAACGGGGCAGCCACCGCTGTAGGGCTCTTTAGCCCAGTCCTGAAAAGCAGAGAAGTTAAATGACGACATTGAGAGGATATGCTCCTGTCATGTGGAGAAAAAAATCCCCCACCAGGATACACAAGAGAAATTAAAAACTATGTGTGGGTTGGCTCTTCTGGATAATTCATACTTAAATAAATAAAATATACAAATATAATTAGTGTAAAATATAAAGAAACTGGGATGCCCATTGGGTCCGCTTTAAAATCAGGCCAAACATTATACCATCAATTCATCTGCTTTACTCCTCTTCAGTAAGCTCAGAGTTCCTGTAATTGTATTCTATATAAAATGATGTTCCCCTTGAGTCTCTTAGTCAACAAAGTGAAATCACGATATTCCCCTCAACATCCCTGCCTCAACTTTCCTCGGGGTAATTTTCTTTCCATCTTGCCTTTCAACGGCAGAGAGAGAGAGCCGTCCAGGGACCGAGATCATACATCTGCATGATAAATGTGCTGTTTTATCATGCGACCAGTGTGAGCTGTTCATCATGGAATGGACCTAAGCACTAATTCTGTATGTGTGTCACAGCATGATTTAAGACAGTGGGATATCAGCTACATGCAAAATGGTCTCAGTAATGTGGTCGTGGCTCATGTCTGTTCATTACGGCGACTGTGTTCCCTTTGGAGGCACTTGGCTCTGCTCACCTCGGGCAGGATTGACACGCCCACTCCCTATAACCCAGTAGATTTACAATAATGATTTTTTATTTGCTTGTCTACATTATGTATGAGTTTCTCTGTGGATGTTCTCCTCTGCAATTCTTCAATTAAATAAAAAAAAGTCTCAAGGCTATCTCCGAGCTCGCCAGAGCACGTGTTGATCCCTCGCAGTGTTAATCCAGGATCTTCATCATATTGCTGACATTTAGATAAACTGCATATCTAGTGATCTTTTTCAAATATGGATTGTGTCATAAACATCTGTGGTCCACTCCTGCATTAATCTAGATTTGCATTAAATTTCTGGAATAGAAAATAAAGGCTGGTAAAATGTTGAGCTACAGGATTATTTGTTTTATTACATCCAACATCTACCACTTACCTTCTCCTCATAGTGGATGAAAGACGCAGCCTCGGGACCCAGGTATTTGACCAGACTGGAAACCACAGCGTCCCTTCTCTCTCCAGCCTGAAAACAAAGGGAGATGCCTGTACCCATTACGCTCACTTCATTTCATTTAGAACTAGAGGGGAACTCTGAGAGCAAATGCTTTCACCAACGCTATCACTCCCCATGTTATAGAAAGTTAATTGGACCCACCCATTTATATAGATCCACCCCTGAACAGTGAAAACACAACCTCCTTGGTGGAGGTATACACACAACATCAGCAGCTGAGATATGAATCCATACTCCATAGAAACCAGTCCAAGCTGGACACAGGAAGCCGCAGTCAATTTGAATAACTCAAGCGTGGTCAGCACAGGCTCCTGGTTGTATTAGCACACACGGTGAGTTACACACAGAGCAGCTGAGGCCCGAGGACCGAGAGGACGGATCACCGTAAAGCGTCCTGACGGATCCTCATCTGCATGTCACTTTACCTTTGCTCCCAGCACAACCACTGTGGACAATTTGGAGCTGATGCTCCTGACAGAAGAACAAAGAGGGAATGGCAGCATGCCCTTCAACGCTTCTGAGCCATTTTCAACCAAAACCAAAAAAAATCCATCTGCGTACCAAGAACATAGTCTAATGTAACATTAATGGCAGAATCATACTTGTACAGCTCAGCGTGACCTTTATGTCCACTTGCCTCACACACACCAACACTATTTTCCTCTGTATAGCAGCGGAGCAGCGAGCGGAGGTTAATTATTTAGCACCCTGTGCAGCACAGCACAGCGGGGACAGCTAGTCTACAGCTTTGTGGCAAGTCGGGATAATGGCTGTGATGCCAAAACAACACGAGAGACAAGGCTGGATTCATTTATTTCTGCAGGTGAAGGGAAAGCACTGGGATTAAATGATAATGTCAACAAGAAGGGAGGGTGGAGGCTGAGTGTGTGCAAAAGTATACAAGGGGGAAGAAGAGTGGAGGATTGCAGCAATACTCTTCTTAGTTTTTACTATATTAGTTTGATGGTGCGGGTGTGATGTCCGCTGAGAAGTGTGGAACTGACCGACAGTCGCAGTGTCGCATTGTCAGAATCAGGTCCAGCAAGTGGAAGAGTAAAGATGTAGATCAATTAAAAACCAGCGTTCATCTGCGATATTCAACCTGGAAACTTAAAATATGAAGAATTCTGAACAGGGTTTGGTGGATTTGTTACAGCAGCAGCTCCTCTGGTTCAGGAAGCCGGGGATCATGGGTAATATCCAGCGTTCACTTGGCTCAGTGAGAGAGACATCGCAGTCAAAGATCCACTCAACACATTGATTGACTTAGTTTTTTCTCAGAGCAGAGGGCGCTGCTGCTCAGTAGAAGTGACATAATGTTGTTTTAATAGTCACGGGAGAAAAATATGAATATATAATGTTATCAATCAGAAATGCAGGAATAAAGGGAAACTAACCCACGAGAGACCACGCTTCACTTTACACTTCATATTGTGATGCGTCTATAATCTAGAATAATCCAGTCAGGTACTTTTTAAAGCCATTTCTTCTGAGATTGCTTATTTACCATGTGGTTGAGCATTAGCAATCAAGAGGCTCCTTAAACTTGAAATAAACAATTTCCATTTTATGGCGAGTGGGCTCTCCACCTCCGCCTTCCTCCATGTGCAATTATGACGCTTGTTTTTGTTTCACTGCAACTGACTGGCACTTAAAACCAGGGATAAACAAACGATTATGCCATTAGTGAACAAAATAAAAGTATAAAAAAGTAATAATAAAAATGGAATAGAGGAATACTCACACTATATATGTTTTGCATGTACTGGAGTTACTGTTGCTGGAGCGCCCCACTGTTCTCAGTCTATATGCTCCAGTGTTTCAGAGTTCAGGTGGTTCACAATCTCTCATGCAGTTTTCATAATGCTGCCCCAGAGCGTTTTCTTTTACACAACAACATCGTCTGGATGCTGCACAGTATGTTGCATTTGTGTCCACACGTGACATTAACACAACACACACGCAGGACACAGATGAAGCCTTGTGGAATACTGAAAATCCAACTGTTGTGCATCTTTTCTCGAGGCATCGTAACGCTCGCCCACATTTGAATTGAAAACCGTGACATCTTATTACAGGCAACTCGCTGTAGGGAGAAGTTCTGCAACAGTAACTGAATATTTTATGCCTGTGACTACAATGTAAGTTTTTCTCGTAAGACCCGAGAATTTGTCTCCACTACCAACTAAAGTGAGGGAAACTCTCCACTGATTACTTTTCACCTTTTATTTAAATTTGGCTTAGTTAGAGTTAGCAGAATAAAAAATATATTGAACTGATAGATACATCTAAAAAGAGAAATGTTAATTGTATCTGTCTTGACGTTCTTTACCTCCTTGGAGCTCCACTGAGACGCTTGCTGGCCGGCGATGAAGCCCACCAGGGCAGCATTACCTCTGGGGCTGGTGGCGTCGAAGGTAACGCAGAACGGACAGTCAGTGGAGGATCCTGTGACTATTTCTCCAGAGAAGTCCTTCTCTCTCCAAAAGGCCTGCAGACAAACAGAGGCAGTCATCACTAAAGACAGCTGTGCAACTCAAAGTACTCACTCGTGCAGGGACATATTTAAATCATGACTGTAAATCTAAGTCTAAATGAATGATTTGAATTTGTCCTTACGTGTGTAAATATATTGAGGATCAGATTTAAATAAGAAACACTGATTTTCCAGTCTAGACAGCAGCTATCTGGGGTCAAGACTCCATCTCCCTTTCACGGTTCACTGGTCGAACACCAAAACACAAGACGAGTCTCTGTGGGTGTTTTTCGGGGAAATATTTACCAACAGCTTTCTGCATATGAATGGTGATGAATTAAAAAACAGCAGTTAAACAACTGTTTCTGAGGTTCCTTAATGGCAGCAGTGGAATATTCACTCTTATATCTGATGTTATTTATTTCAGTCTGCTGCTGCCCGAGCTGCACTTGAAATTTTAAATAGAACTTTATTGTCCTACAAGTGTCACATATGTTCCTGCATCACGACCTCCTCCCCTCAAGGGCATGTTTTAATGGAATACAAATTTTAACAGATAAATAGTCTGGATACTGCACAGTAACAGCAACCCTCAGCACCAGGCCTACGCACAGCTTGGATGTAAAAATGCAGTTTAATTTGAGGCGTCTTGACGTTGCTAACATCCCTGATCAAGTCAATCAGTTCTGTTCAGCTGTCAGTTCAACATTATTATTACTCAAGATTCAATTCAGTTTTATTTGCAGAATGAGAGAAGAGAAGAGTCCATGTATTGTCCCACAGCTTGACTGTTTTGGGCTTTTCACCCATGCATAAAAAGAAAACATGTAATGCAGAATTTATAAATCTGGGTTAGTAAATAATGAACATGGTCGTTACAGCAGCTGAAGCACACAATGCATAGAGAAAACATACAATTACTAGTTTGGGATTTGACTCTATACATGGTGTGTATAACTCAGTTAGAGTGAAATGATTTTACTCTGATGAAAGTGGAAAAGGTTTATTTATTCCAGTGGTGAAGTGTTGTCTTGTCTCAGCTCCCTACAAACAATGTTCTCTCAGGGAGACATGACTACGGCAGAACTCACACCTCAAGGTAAAGAATACTGTTGGTGGGGAGGACGGAGTGTTGCTTGATTCTTTGGACAATCTAAGTGGCAGCCACAGAAATATTCAGGGGCGGTCCTCAGCTTTAAAACCTATTTGAATGTTTGCAAAACCTTTCTTGTATGTGTGTCAATGTCCCAGAAAAGAAATGGGTGATATTTTAGTTGCCAAGTGTTCACCAGGCGAAGCGGCTGTTTCACTTCAACAGCGTCCTTTCCTTCAATATTTAAGCATTTCAAACTTTTCATCACACCACAGGGAAAGATACCTCAAATCTTTAATGACATCAATCGTATAAGTCACTTTAGTTATTATTTTTTCTGCTTGGCTGAATTTAGCAATAAACAGGATCACTCACTGTGGTAAACAGAATAGAGGCCAAGCGGTGCATGTTTGTGAGGAGTGTGTGCAGATTACGAATGAGTAGTCCGCAAATTGAATGCTGTGCAGCCTCCTCTGATGTTTGCAGGGATTGCGGTGAAGAATCAAAGGCACGTTCATTCACTGATTCATAAAATATGCAGTGCAGTACAAACAACCGTGTACAAAACACAGTATATGTTGGAATACATCTCATATGGGCAGAATTTCCATATCTAATGTCGGGGGCGGTTCTATGGTCCTCCCTCAGATAGCATGAGAAATATAAGACAAATGTCTCATGAAATAATAAGCAGCTGGCTCTCTTACTATGTGTAGACTGCAGCCTCATGTAATAATAAGTGGCTCTAATGTGCAACCAAAGACTTCTGGCCACTTTGCATCGGCATCAAATGACATTTCACGTTGACATGTTTTATTGAAGCAAAGTTTCGTGACAAACCGACACGCGGGCGGAAATACATCGATGATCTTTGGATCACGTCTGCGCACTACATCGTGTTGTCTGTGCGTGTGCTCCCGCTAAGTACATTTGAACATTCACGTGTTCGCCTGCATCTGGTTGCATATGCATCTGACTGTTTGTCTTTTGTCATCTTCCGAACACAGCGATCTGAGAAACGTTCATTTTTTCATTTACTTTTGATTAACCCTGAACGCTGACTTGATTTGCTAAAATGATCCCGAGGAAATGTATTCAGTTTACCAGTTGTAGCTACACTAACAAAACACAGTTAGAAAGCAAAATGTACTTTGCAGTTTTACTTGGGTGGACGTTTGAAAAATCCACAAAGCTTTTAGTGGCCCTGTCAGTGTCTTTACCAGTCGTCTGTATGTGCCCGTCATTCGTGCTGCGCAGGAGAATGTGTTGCATGTGTGTCAGTGCTCACTGTGGGGGTGGATGAATGAGGAGGTGAATGCAGTTCTGTCCATTTAAAAGCCTGTTTGAGGTCTGCTCATGATTGACTTCATTTTCCTACAGCTCAATAGTTTTTGCCTTTTTTCTTATAATTTCCTCAAAGGGATGTTGTTCCACCTCCTGCAGGAGGTTCCAGCAGCTTGATCCTTTATTTCTGGTTACACACAGTTTCCTTTGTGCCTTTGTCTCATTCGGTAAAAAAACTGAAAAGTAAAACCTATTGTGAACCAGTCGAAACACCAATCTGTGCTTGCACTTTCCTGCTTGTTGCTTGATACAAAACAAAAACAATGAAGGCATAATATTCTTGCATTTAAATTTGACAGCGAGGATCTTACTTGTGCCTCCGCTGGCTCAACTACCTCGTTATTGCCTCATTGTTGGACCATGTTTACGAAGGTTTACAGAGATCCTCGTACTCCGAGAGGTCGCACCTTCACCCTGACGCGGTATCCTACATTAATCCACTCTGAGGAGAGGGCCGGCTCTCGTGGAAAAGAATTTGCTGATGTTCTCTCTTTTACTTCACGTAAGCTCCTTATAATGTGGAGAGGATTCGGCTGCTCCGAGCGTTGCCCTGGCAAATTAACCAACATCGCGGGACATTGTCACAGGTAAGTGAAGGCACAGATGTGACGCCCAGCCTCAGGCGGCCTCCAAGGACAAGCTGGAGCTTCTATGGTTGTCCCCCACTGTGGAACAGATAATTCGTAGCAGAAATGCAGATTCAACGATTTATGCTGAAAATTCAAAATCCACGACCGAGCGATACGACAAGAGCATTTCAGCGAACTGCTCAGTCAGCTCATTGTTCTCTCTCTCTCTCTCTCTCTCTCTCTCTTTCTTTGAATGTGCTACTAGAGAGACGCCTCTTGCCACCTGCTATCAAAGTGTCTGAGTGATGTCCTCTGCTCGTGGGGTTTTGTTTTTAATCACTCTCTTCTGCAATGTTTCCTGCAGGAAGTAAGATGACAGTGGCTTGTACTAAAACATAACCCGCATATGAGATTAAAATCACTAACCAGTGCATTATGGGTAGAGCTTTACCCTTAAAGCTTTTGCAAGAAATCTCCGAGCAGAACGTCAGTAAACACAGACGTGAAGGTTTCGATGTTTTAAGCTAAGGATTGCCTGAGGGTAACAAACCCTGGATAGCAGGCCTTCCTTAATGAATTTAATTGATTATTAAAATTAGCACTTCACAAATAATTCAATTTATTTAACGAGGAAAGCAACATCGGCTCATTGCAGTTTTTCTTAAGGAGGTTGTGCATGGACTGGCGGACGTCCAGATCCAAAAACATAGATATTCCATGCAACATACTTTCCCCAGGCTGGGAATCAAACTGTGCAGCGTTCATGTAATGTGCACCCCGATGCAAAACCCAACCAAAGCTCTTTGTTGTTAATTGAGTTTGCCTCCTCTGTCATGTTGTTGTGTTTCTGACCCTCAGCCGCCGCCTCTCACTCACTTCTCTTATATGTTTCCTCTGCATTAGTTTCCCTCACAGCAGCTGAGTGTCGGGGAAACATAACCACACAGCTTCACAAGATTAATTTCCAGCGTTCCATTCTAGTGTGAAAGTATTGCATGTTTCTGTCCCGTGAGATCCGCCTCCTGTATTACAGCTGGCAGAAGAAACATGTCCTATTCATAACTGCAGTGAGTAAAGTGTAGCTCTGCAATCAATCACCGCACACGGCTGCAAACACACAAGAAGAGAGAAAGAGTTTCACATGACAAACATCTTTGTGTTTTTATCAGAACTCAAATATGCATCTTGGCAACACACCAACGCGCAGATCGAATAAATGATTCTGTGTTCATTACAATAGGCAAATTCACTCCGCTAACAACGCGCACAAGCTTTTGGTTAATTAATTGTCAGAATTAATTAAGTGCAAAATGGAGAACAAATCAAATTTCATGTGCTGGAAGCTCTTCTGCCCAAAGTGCTGAGATCTATAGAGAACTTGTGCCAAAACGAACGAGCTGTGCTGCAGGATTTCTGTCTGATGACACAAGATAACAAACATATTTGAGAACTATTTCCCCCTCACCTCTGCTCATGCTGCAACTGACTGGAAAACATTTGTGCTTTTTCACTGCGCTCTGGGAATCTGATCTCAGATGTATTTCTGGATGTGAATTGTGGAAAACTATAAGTTGTTTCGGTATCTTGATACAGACGTTTGTGAGGATTATTCTACAAGATTGGTTTTTTTTTTTTCCTCCACTAATCTTGACAAATGTCTCCAAACAAAAACAACCCATTATATTTCGATCCACATGCAAGATCATACACAACTTGCAAATCCATTACTTGTAAGCACCAACTGCAACCGCCATCGTTTTTGATGTAGTTAAAATAAGCTTCTGTATGAAAGACTATGGAAATAAAAAATTTAACAAGCATGAAGAACTTCAGTTGAACTTTAGAGTTTAACAGGGCAACAAAAAGGTTCTGGGTCCGAACCTGCCGACCGACCGAGGCCTGTCTGGATCACAGCAGAGACACGGACAAAGGTGACGACTTGGAAAGACAATGAGATTTAAAAACAAGTGATCATCATTAACATGCTTTGTACTGCATCTTACATGTGCCCCCCCCCCCCCCCCCCCCCCCCTGGCCTGAACCCTGCAGAGATTTGTCATGAACGCATCTGACCGTAGGATCTCCTGCTGCGGTCTTCATATCTGGACCCCATTAATGTGCAGCCATTTGCCAGAGTTCACAAATACTGTGTTATTCCTGATGGAAATAGCTTCACTGCTCACCATCGCATGTTTGTCCAGTTCAATAATCTGCTGTTGCCAACCTACACAATATCGATGTGGAATCTCTGACGTTGTTTAGAGCGAACATGACTCACTGGAGAAGAAAATGTGAAAATGGCACCGACTGTGCGGAGGACTGAAACGTGATTGTCGAATGAAAATGAATGTTCGCTCAAAATGTGCTTTATCTCGTTTTACTCACCGTCTGGTAGGTAATAATGAATTTCATGAGGTGGCCCACAGGCATGTTCTGGGTGAGGAACTCTCTCTGGCTGGGCAGGGCTGGCTGGTACTGGATCTTTGCTGTTGAAAAAAAAAAAACAACAGCACATCATGAATCCATATCAGTGGCTTCTTTAGTCTTCCGCGCTCTCACCTGGAGTACCTTACATGCAGTGTAGCACAAAGCTATGCTTGGTTGGGGGATGAGTAAAAAGAGGGAAACTAAATGTTTGATACTAAACTGGAAATGATGCCTCCTATCGATCAGGAAGGTTTTATCTTGAATCACTGAATAGAAATAATGGCCCTGGCGAAAAGACATGACCTCATACTTCTGTGGCGGAGCACTAACCACGGCTCTTACATTTAAAAAAAAATCTCCATCCTGCCGACGTGAGTGAAGCAACTTCATCGGCGCCGTTAAAGGTATAGCGCGCGTCACGCACGCACGCACGCTGGTCCCGCGCTCCCTCCGGCAAGTGAAGTGACATCTGGCCGTAAGCCAGGCTTTTAACAAATGAACCAGAGGAAGATGTGAAACATCATTTAGAAAATGTCAAGAGGCCGTCAGCGAGCTCAAAAATAATGCCCTCAACGCTAAACAAAATTGATGAGCCTGATGCAGTAAAATTGAAAAACAGCGACATGATAAGTGGCTCCGAAGCAATTTGACATGGTCACTTAGACGTACAAATGACAGCGCTGTTCACATGACATAAGAGCTGTCGAGTTGTGTCATATCCATAATGCCACTTGTTTTGACACCAAAGACAGAAACTTACCAGCAGCAAAAAGCCTCAAACCTCATTATTCATCCGGCAGATGTTAAATCGTCGTCGGCTAAATGAGACGTAGTCTGGCAACTTATTCTTTTTGAGCAGCAAAGTGCTCCACGGTGACAAAACTGTCAAGGTCTCCCAAAGGGAAACAAATGTGATGTGACGCTTTTTGCAGGAAACTTTGTCACAACTCATCATTTGCTCCTAACTCGAGATGACGTGTGCAAACAGGTTCAGCGTGATGGCAGTTTATGTAACTTAATGACATGAGATTAAGCCGAAGCTCAGGAAGGTTTGCTCCGATGCCTCGCTGACGGATGGTGAGAGAGAAGCGCTTGTGTACAGATGTCATCCCTCGATCACAGTAAAATAATACTATTGTTATACAATCTTTCTGGCATCCGGCAATTTCCAGACTTGTTCTTTTGAAGGCGCTCACTTTTGGCCCTTTCTGTAAAGGTGGTCTAAATTACACAGCTCCTGCAGCGCAGGATAAATGCTGAGGATTTCCTCTCTGTCAACACAACTGAAAGAGCCGATCGAAAAAGGACAAAATACCAACTTCAACTTCACAACATTTCAGTGCTTGCAGTCGGTATGATGGAATTACTCCACTCTGCTCTCAAAAGTAAGACGGAGAGCACAAGAAAAGAGAAAAGAAAATACCTGAAATCTCCAAAATTCAAGGTAATGTCGATTTTATTTACTCACAGGTTGATGAAGTATTCTGCAGATGTGTGGAACTGGGACATCGTGCAAGATTATGGGCCGGACTGACGAGGCCCCCTTTGTTGTAACTTTTCTAAATATTCAGATCTTTCACATTTCCCCACAAACATATATAACACACCTGAGGGAGGCATCATCTTAACAAGCATTAAAACACCCTCTGTATCTGATGAAAGGTGATGAAAAGAAGTCGTGAGCAGACGGGAAAGAGTCCAGCCCGTCTTCTCTCGGGGATGCTGACGCAATTCTCACATGCGCCGCCGTCTGAAGTTTCCCTCGACTGACAGCTCACCAGAATATTTTCTTTGCATCATTCTGTGATCTTGGGAAAACCTCTGCGAATTCAGGAGCGTCCGGTGGCTCCTGAGCAGTCTGCATAACAGCTGCATAACAGCTGGGTCCTGACCCACAGCTCTCTAGCTTCTGAAGAGGCTGCCTCCCGCTGAGTGGGCTCCTTCTCATGGCCTTTTTCTGTCCGTCTTAATCTCACTTTCCTCTTTTAAAGCTAGGTGGCATTTGATCCTCCTACGCAACATTTTTGTGTGAATGCACCACCGGAGAACGCCGACCCTTGCCATTTGCGATTTCCTCCGCCAATGACCTGTGAGTCGTACTTTTGGTAGTCCTCAGCGAAAGGGCTTCAAATTCCCATTACTCTCTCACTCTGAACTTTTACCTCCACACAGGCGCTGTCAGTGTCTCTGACTGTCAGAGGGATGAGGAAAAGTGAAACATGAAAAGCCACTCAAATCAAGACCTAACATCAAAGCGGCGATGATTCAGAAATGCAGCTTTCCGACGACAATTTGTGAAAGAGCAGGGAAACTTTCAAAAAGTATGAAAACAGCTAAAACCGAGCTTTCACTGAAGTTTGGTCCGTGGCACTGCCTGTGAAATTCCATTATCTCTTTCATCCTGAAAAGCCAACAGAGCAGTGCGGAGCATATTAAGTGGCAAACCAGTGTGGAAAATAAGAAGTAATCATATGCACGACGTCTTGCTAATATCTGGAAATATAAAAAACAAAAGACCATGAAGGCCATGTGAAGCAAAGTTAAACCAGCGATGGAAACACCTCTTACAGTGCAAGTCTGTGTGGGTATGAGTAAACACGGTCAAATAAAGAAGTCACTACAGAGGGATTCAAAAAAAGAAGAAAAGCAACTGTCGCTGTCGTAAATCTGTTAGAACATCTGGGTGAGGGCAGCACAATTCAACTACTACTTCATCCAAATGTTAAAAGATAAAGTCCTTCATCTGTGTGCATCTTACATCACAGATCTTTTAATGAATTACAGATGGAGCCTCTTGACAGAAATTGAAATTGAAGCCTCAGTAGTGAACTCTCACACACACACACACACACACACACACACACACACACACACACACACGTATAGTTGCCACCGTTACTTAATATTTCCTCGTCCTGACAACAACGATGACCCAGTTGCCAAAAATTCCCCTCATTAGTTTATACATTCTTAAATGAACTGATCTTTAATATTGGATGACTCTTAATGTCCAATGAATAAAATATTAAAGTAGTGGACTACAAACAGGAGACTCATTTGATTTTGACGTCTCATTTAAACTCCCTGAGAAAGTGTTTTTAATCAGCAGCTCGCGGGAACAGTGACGTTTGATCTGCGTAAGGCGACGTCTTCTTTCCGATCGGACAACAGACCTTCTTCAGCATCAAGGTCCAAACATAAATGACAAGAGTTTATATTGAGCTTATTCTGTCCCTCTGGGGTTTGAACATTTTTCCACTGGTGAACACAGCTCTGCAAAAACCACATTTACTTAATTTGCCTGCTCATCAACACTCGCTGCATTGCTCATCAGCAGAGATGTGAGCTGCACACAGAAAGCTGAATCCATTTCCACTGTGTTTAAACTCAGCGAGAGAGAAATCACTTTGCATTATTTATTTTCACAATCACGTTATAACTCCCACTTCATGTTTAATCCCCAAATTAGGCGCCATTAGTTTAATTCACAGTGGATATTGGCCCGGAATCCAGACTCATACCATGTTAGTTATAGATGCCAACGCACATGTTTCATACAAGACTCTGGACTAAACTGTGAGTGGCACCTGCAATCATTTCCTCACCGCACATGCAGCAGCTCCTCCTCCCTGAGAAGACACAATGGCGACGTCAGGTATCGTGTTGCATGTCCGCCTGTCAGCTCCGGTCGCGAACAAAAGAAACTGCCTTAAATTCGGTTAAACAATCTTTTCCGAGTGACAAAGAGAACTGCAGTGTCGCCCAATGAACTATAGATGTTCACTGTATGTGGACACAAAGCCACAGAGTTCACATGATAAAGGAAGACAGAGAAAAACACATTGAAACAAAATGTTAATTTAGTAACTGCGCCGCTGTCTCTGTTGCGATCACTGGATATTAGACTGCATGCCTAATTGCGTTATACTGCAACTTGCAAGCTGTGAAAGCCTAATTAGATTTTTTTTTGTTGTGCAGTGTGAATATTACACGGGAACCTACTCAAGCACCAAATAAAACATGCACACTTCAAGCACGATTTCAAAATGTCGACACCAGGCAAAAATTGCCGTTTCCGAGCTCATCTATCCCCCGTGCATGGCAACCTGCAAATTTGCAGTGAAACCAAATAGCTCATAAATCTCTGCGATGACTGAGAGAAGCGATAACAATAAAAAAAGCAACAAAAAAAAAAAAAGAAAGAAACTGACAGAACTCTTATAAAAGATGGATGCATGAATGAGGGGATAAATCCAGAGGCCAAGAACAGGACAAACATGATGTATGAGTGAACACGCAGCTCATATCCAGCATCTGCATCGGTGTGTGAAGAGAAACTGAAGGGAGTGTTCTTTCTTTTCTTTTCTGATCATTCATCGTTCTGCTCATTCACTGATGACTTGAGAATTAATTAGGATTTCAGATAACAAACATCTAGAAGAGGAGCCAAACACAGGGGAGGGGGGGAGGGGGGGAGGGGGGGCTGTGGGTTCTTTACACTCATGGTGTCCAAAAGAGGTTCGGCATCATCCCGAGTCATTATCGTCATTCCCACTGTATGTGTTAAGCTCCTCTCTTCACTCTCCCGCTAACAGGAAAGCTGCTCAGGTTTACCCACTTCCATAAAATTGAAATGAAACATGTCACACAGACGACTTCAAGCAGCAGTCCTCTCTTTAATTTATCCCCGACTCCTTTTGGGAGAGGTGACGTCTCAGTCACTGGCCTTACTTTGGCTTTTGAGAGTCGCTGTCAACCTCCCCGCGCTGATTTAAAGCCAACGTGTGGCACTGTGGCATCTGAGCCGCAGCAATCTATGCTGCATAATTCAACACCGCTCTCAAACCTGTCTCATTAAGGACCCTGGCCATGGTCCATGGCGCTGGGTATGAGGCTTTGAGTGACAGATCGGTTGCCAGCTTAGTGCAAACAGGTACAGACCCAGAGTAAGTTCCAGCTCCAGCTCCAGCTACCTCCGAACGTGGCAGAGCAGCAGCCTCCACTTCAGCTTCAACTTGGACCAGCACCGACTCCGATTATTAATATTTAACCAACACATAACAAGCACGGGTCGTGAAAAACACTTCAGCTGCACCCATGAGACACCCCTGAAAAAGTCCAAAGATCTTTTGGTGATGAGGGCGGACAAGTGATCTCTGTATTTAAATTTTACGCTGCTGTTCGCTCCACCCACGCTCCACCCAGGCTCCACCCATCGCCTGAATGCTCCGGAGGATTCTGGAGACAAACTCTAGAGAAGGTCCAGATTCAATTGTCCGGAATTCATAAATAAATAAATAGATCGATAGACAGACAGATAGTTAGAAAGAAGTTATAGTGTCTAACTCGATATAAAGAAATAAAAAGTAGATTCTGTTCAGAAGTTTGTGTTTTCTCTGAGTGCTCAATTTGTTCACACAGTCAAGAATCAACACATTTTCAGATGCAAATGAAAAAGACGCTGCTGGTTTTCGAACGTCGAGCTAGTTGGCTCAATTAAAACTTTCTGCTTCTTGTGACCGGCCCACACTTTCCTGCTGGGCTCCATATTTTCCCCCTGCCTGGAAACTCGATTGCTGAGAGGTCAGTAATGACGTGTTTGTCACTTTCAACTTCTCGCCTCCGACCGTGGCGAATGTCACATTAGCCTCCAGTTTCAGCTTCGACTCCTGCGCTGGTTCCCAAAATCCAATCCAGGCGATTCCTCACAAATGTATCTACATGGATGCACAGTTTGCCACGTTTGACGGACACGCTGAGAGAGGAGGATACTCGCCTCCTGCCTCGGTGAGAATGTCATTTAGCGAGTTGATGGAGGTGGGAGACTGACACACTGACCTGCTAGATGAGGAGGGCAGGTGACAATCACAGCTCTGCACAAGAAGGTGGCGGTGGCGGTCATCACCCGAGCCCACTCAGCATCCTGCGGAAACAGAAGCAGCTTCTTTTAATGAGCATGTTGCACAGATTTATTGGTAAATGATTGTGTCTGGTGCAGAAACTCTTTTTCTGATTTCCTCATGGCTGACCACATCTTCAGTATCCAGCTGAGCATGTTTGAGATGGAATAAGTCATAGAGTTTTGGAGCCATATTACATTTATGCATATTATTGAGACTTTGCAGACATTTGTATGTGTTTGCACCGACAGTTTTTACAGTTAAATAAAGAGTATTGATCGCCCCCTGGTGGCTGGATTCAATTTTACCAAAGTAAAACTCAAAATGCATGTCAAAGGAATTTTAGGTCGGCGAAAGAACCCATTGCATTTTGGGGCTGATCTAGACAGAAAAATTCATGGATCTCGTTAAAAAAAGCAATGGTGCAGCTTGATTTGATTTAGAGGACCCTTGGTGTGCCATTAGTTATGAAGTACACATATACTTATATATATATATGATGTCATATAATATTTATAATATATTTTTGGCTGTTGGCAAGTTATCTGCTCAGAGAAGGATATATTCCTGTCATTTATTCATACCATGTGGTAAAAATAAACTTTAAAAGTTGATTAAGTATTTTTTAAGGCTCATGTTCTACTGTAAGCCAATATCATGAATTAATCATTTCCCTGCTCTCACATGTTCTCTCACATCCCTCACTCATGTTCAGTATTTCCACTAATCTCTGCTTCCTGCTGATGAAGTCAATCACCACAGAAAGACACTGGACAAAAAGCTCCTGTCCCTGAACACTGTAAAACAGACAGAGATTCTTGGATGCTGAAAATTAGAAGTGAACACATTTCCAGCTCTCTCGACCGGCCCCCTGGTAACGTTAGGATTTTTATTTTCAATGATTGATTCACAAGGAGCCTCTCCATGCTTCCTATCTCCCAGCACCATGCACCCTCAGCTCCTCAAGAGAAACTCAGGGCTGCAAATAAAAGGTGTCCAAGCTCCTCCAGTTTAGACAAAGCTCTGCTCAAGGTCCCAAAGAAAAGACATTCATCTATTTATTTCCATATATCTGCGTAAAATAATAATTTTGCTTGTGCATGTCACCGTTGCTTCGCAGCGAGAAGACGTCTCATGAAACAGACGCCTCGCGGCTCTTTTCCTCCGACCCAGAGGAATAGAGCCTCTCTGTGTGAAGTTTGCACATTTCCCTGTGTGTGGGTTTTCCTCTGGGTGCTCTGGTTCAGCTTAGGTAAAGTGGAAAATCACCCATAGTTGTGAATGGGAGTGTGAACGTGTTTGTCTGCCAATGTGTTTTATCACTGTGGCAGACTAAATGTCAAGGGTGAGCCCTGCCTCTCCGGAGCAGGACAGCAGTCAATAATACTTTCTCATGACTGATCAAATCTATAGTTAATCTTTTTGATTCATTCATTTGTTAATTGATAAATATTGTTCTCTGTATGTTGCCTGCCACAATTTCCCAGAAGCCCTCTCGTTTTGTCCAGCCAACAGTCTAAACTCAGATAATATTTGTAAAAGACAAAAAATCAAAAACACAAATAAAATCAAAAACATAGAGCTTGAATTCAGAAATTTAACTTAAACTCTTTTGTGCGTATTTTAAACTTAAATACACTTTTCGTTAACAATGAACATTCATGAAGCTGCAGCCACTTGGCATTTTTGATGAAAAGACAAATTGTATAATCGTTACTTTAGACGGAATGCAGATTCCTGACTGATGGTATTCAGTGATCAGTACAATGGAGTCTAGTCCAGCGATCAAATAAATCCATCAGCCTTGGAGCTGAACTGTTTATTGATCTGGTGAACACCTGAGTGTGCTCACAGTCTGCTTGGTTTCCCAGCTGTGGATGATGGAGACAGTCAGGCGGAACACACATTGCCTTCACGGGAGACGGCCTGTTTCCCCAGCGAGGAGGCTTTTATCTCTGTGTCGTGCCTCATCAATCCCTGAGAGAGCCGTTACCGTGCCGTACCTGCCATATGGCCGTCACCGCCGAACCCAGCCGGACGTCCTCCAGCCCCACACGCTCCGCCAGGCGCTCTGAAAGCTGTTGGGTGCCTCCCTGTGGAGACACAGATACTACAGTGAAGGTGGGCTTCAAACCCACAGCTGCCCCGATTCCCTGGAGAGAAAAGTTAAAGGGTGACTTCGCCCAAATTACAAAGCAACAAACCCCCGGCAGTGTCAAGCCAGCCAGCCAGCCAGCCAGCCAGCCATGCAGATAATAGTTTATATTTGCCAAGAATTTTATGTATCTGCCTCTGAGACCTCTGCTGACACTTCAATACATCAAAACATTGACTGTGGTGAATAAGCAATTACAAATTATGCTTTAGAAGAAAAAAAGATCAGCAGCATCTCCGTCCAGAAACTGTCCCTGTAGCTCTGCAAGAGCCGCAGAACTGGAAGTAAACGGTTTTCAAAGGAGATAGAAAACTTCAGTTTGGCTTTTTTATCTATAAGCACCAAAGTGAAGCGAGATCATTTTCTTCTGCAGCCAGTCGTCACCGGAGGTCATCAAAATCATCCACGTTAGTGAGTGGGACATGGATTCGCAGGCTGCATTCACTGACAGATTGCGTCACAGCTGCACATTTGAAGGCTTCCTCGGAATATGTTTTATGAGCATCAGAGAACTTAACATACTCTGAACGTTTTCGTGGTTCAGATGAGTAAAAGCACACTTTTGGTGATTTGGAGACATTTCAGAGACGTTCAGAGAAATCATGTCTCAAACGTGCATTTTAAACTCAGAGCATTTTCATTTGACTTCCTGTGACAGACTTTGCTCTTGCATGATATTTGACTGATGAGGCACATTCCACTTCACATTTGCTGCTGCTCTCGCTGCAGCTGTGGAGTAGTCACGCCCACATTGCTGCTCATTAGATTTCGTCAGTAAAAAGCAGGAACCCCATTATAAATAACTTGCTGCGGATAAAAAACATGGAGGGAATTCATGCCATCTCTTTTTTTAAGGCATCTTGACCGACTTTTCTTCTTTTAAACCCGACTGAGAAACAGAAACAGCAAAGGTTCGATAGCAAAAACACAGAAATAGAACAGAAAAGAGGCAAAGCCTTCATGTTGAGAGAATGCACAGAAAAATTAAGAAATCCAATAAGAGACCAGAGCTCAAAGTGTTTAAACAGTCAATGAAGCTCCAAGGTCAAAGAAAGGCAAAGTGTTTGTCGGGACACAGTTTGAATGAGCAGCACAGACTGCAGTGAGAGGCTGGGGTTTTGTTTTAGAACAGGACTCGAGCCAACACTGTCTGGAGAGGGACGTGAGCTCTGTACCTTTATTTTGAACTCCTGAGCAGAACCTGCAGAGCTCTCCAGAAGTGGCAGCAGTCCTCCAGCCGCTGCCGCATACATGAGGAAGAACAAGAAGGACATCTGGGACGACTCCATCCCAAACACAGAGCAGCTGCACAGAGCCATCTCCTCTTTTAGTTCTGGAGGAGAGGGGTTGAGATTCTCTATGTTAAATACTGTAAAACTGAGGCTGTTCTCCTCACCTGCAACTTTACTTTGTGTTATATGAGTGATGTGATCATGACAGTATGACATTCTTATACTATATAGGTTATGTTTAGTGATCAGCATTTTACATGTAGACCAGTTTTAATTTATAGTAAAGTTTTAGACAATATTTATGAAATGTTATTAAAGGTGTCGTGTCTTCTTTTGTACTGTATTACTTATTCTTTTTGTACCATAAACCAGCAAAAGATAAAATTACATTAATGCCTCTGATATGGGACAGTAAAGTTTTTAACCTAGATGAACAAAGCCAAAATAAAAAGTCAAATATTTTTATTTTCTGGTTGAGGTGAGTTGAAGTCAGTTGTTGCACTCAAACTGAGTACAGCATTTTATTTTATTTGAAGTTAGATACATGAGGACAAGGTAGGAGGTAACAAAAAAAAAGAAAAGAATTAATGCACAAAATAGCAGACGTGATATTTAAGGCAGCTTTTAACCCTGACCTGCAGTCCAACCGTGTTTCTCAGTGTAGGAGTGCAGGGTCATACTGTCCAGCTCCGCAGCATTGGGAGTCTTCGATGGATCCTGGACGCACACTGTCGCACACAATCTGTCAATCTGAGAGCAGAGCACAGTCACAACACACACACACACACACACACACACACACACACACACACACACCATTCATGTATCTTTGAGGAGAGGGTCGATGGGAGGGGTTGGGATGAATCTCATTTGCTTTTCCAGGATCACCAACCCCAGCTTTAATATGCGCTTACAGAGGAATTCATCAGAAACACCTGGTCTCCCTTTTATTAGTTCCACCTCAGCATTATTTTATTCCCTAAATACAGAAAACCGCTGCGTTGGCGCGTTGCCTCACCTTCCTAAAAAACTGGGTTAAATCCATTAGCGTGAGTGGGGACAGAGCCGGAATATTGGACCTGTAGGTGCGGATTTTGGCGCCTGGTCCTCTCATGTGTTGCACCTTCCTGCCAGTGTTGAATTGTGGGTAGGTCTCTAAGCCCAGCTCCTTTATTAGCTCCAGGATGTGAGTTTGGGTGCTGAGAGAGAAAGAGAAGTAGTGGAAGGAGTTCCAGCGTTTATTAAACTTGCAGCTGATACAATGAAAAGGACATTCAGAGATATTTAGAGATGGATCGACGTGGTCTTGAAAATATTATATTGCTTGAGTGAGTCAAAGTCTTCTTAAAGAATGGAAGTTCTCTCCGAGTTCAAAAATAACTTGAACTGCATCACTGCACGATAAATCCAATAATTGCTATATTGCTTATCTATTCCCTGCCTGGGTCATAAATCACATTTCCTCTGTAGCTTTGACCCCAGAACTGTTTTGGTATCAGGTGAAAACCACCTCATTTGACCCCCTTGTTAATGAGTTTGCTCATATTATCTAATATCACCAGGCTGTTTTAATTTTGAAGGGGTTTCACTCGGTGGAGAATCCCCAGTTGAATATTTGTTTCATGTCAGAGTCACATTTCAAATGCATCTAAATGACGAAAGTCTCTTTGTGAATGTATCTGTGTAATGTCAGTTAGAGCATGAATCATTCCCGTAGCTTCTGATCCATTTTACCTTCCGACCCACTGGCCTCCAAAGTCCCAGATGTCAGCCCCATTGGCTGCGGGTATTTCCGTGGACAGCGTGCGTCCTCCCACTCGATCTGCACAACAAACCGCACGTGATTTACTTCAGAGCAAAGCAGAACATGACTCCTTTTGATAACAAAACTATTTTACAAACCTTTCCCCTCCAGTATCAGTATTTCTAACTTGGCATCCGTCTTTCTGAGCAAATGAGCTGCACTCAGTCCAGATAATCCGGCGCCAACAACAATAACGTCCCAAATTTTCGCAGTCATAGTCAAGCCCCAGTGACTAGGTTTACTCCTGCCAACTTGGCGTGCGGTGGTAAACTGCGGAGTCAGAAACAGAAATCCGACTCCCTCTTCTTCTCTGTATCAATTAGGTTATCTCGCAGAGTCGGAACTGCTTTCATAATCGTGCACTTTGGAACTGTGAACAACTGAGCTCGTGACCTACTTGGCAGAGGATCGGTTGTGCAAATTTCAGATACAAACGCCAGGAGAGGCTTTTGATTTTTCAACAGCAGAGGCTTCGTCGGAACAAAAGAAGTTCTGCGCCTTTGTAACAAAGTATTAATTTTAATTCGGCTGTTAAATAATAATGCAGTAATTGGGTTATTCTTCAAACGTGCAGTATGTTAATGTGATTCATGCAGAGGGCCGTGTGATGGATGTTTGTTTGGTCGAGTTTTTATACTGAACACACTAAAGTCCTTCTTATCTTAAATCATCTTTTATAATATATCTTTATTTTATCTCCTTTATTTGTGTTTATTTATCTGTTTTTTGCTGCAAAAACTAAAAGAGTATGTCTGGACATTTACTGAGTGAGGGTGCAGCTTTCCACAAGAAAAAGGAAAGCAGATTAAAATTAATTATTTTGATTTAGGACATACACATTTGAAGTCATCCCACAAATAAAGCGAATGTTAGTCTCACTTTTTCTTTATGTGTCTTTATTTTTTAATGTTTGTGTTCATTTCTTCTCGCTGTGCCCTTTTGTTTTTTGTCTTATTTCTGCGTTCACATTTTTAAGGTCACTTTTGCAAACTGTTACAAGAAAAAGTCAAACGAAGTGGCTAAACACTTGGAGGAAAAAAAGACTAAACCCTCAGATCTATGGAGGTAAAATACATTAGTACCGGTGCAAATCATCCACAGGGGTCAGCGGTTCAAGAACCATGAAGTATCTGTTATCTAAGCAGTACTTAATGTGTCAAACAAAGAAAAAAAAAAGTATGTTATGTGATTTAAGTCAAGGGTACAACAGTGTACTCTGTAAATTCTGCAGTGTGTGATTCAAACAGACTTGGGTATCATGTGGTTGGTTCTTTGAAAATGATGTTCTACTCAGTTTGCACATGAACTGAATATTTGCAGATAAACTATTTATATATATTTAGTATAAAGTGTTTCAGTGGTAGTCCTGGTACTTTTTATATAAGGTGTGTGGTGGTAGTACATTTTTTTGATGTGCTCAGTGGATGTGTCTTTGCACGGCCGCATCTAAACCCATATTTTGTTCACCGCTGTCTGATGTATTGGGGGGGGGGGGCAGACAGATCGCACGCATGAGAACAACTATACTGAGAATTTGTGTTAATCGAAACAGCGTGAGCAGGAGGGGATGAGCGGAGTGACCGTCTGGGCCTGCGGCGTCGTCACCGGAGGGGGTCGAGAAACTTGACGGTGTTGAGGATGACGCAGCACAGCAGTCGCCATTCACCTGCATGCCTGTGGTTTGCAACTTTGAAACAGTGAAGACTCGGTGTAAGATGTGAGCTGTGCATTTTTGTTGTTTGCCGGAGGAAAACATTTCAGACTCTGCACATTCAGCCACGTCCCCCATCCCCCCCCCTCCTCCAAACTGGAAGACCTTGACCTCTGTGAAAGGATCATGCATTAATCAACGGAGCCCAGTTTGTGAGATGACCACACCTCGTCCAATCTCATTGTACGTTTGAACTCTGGAGTCTGACAGGGCTGTGTGCTGATGACCTCTATGCATTTATATAACACAACTGTGATAAGCCTTAGTACGGGGTTAGTCAGAGAACTTTTAAAAATCATAATGAAGAAAACTTAAAGTTAATTACAAAAGATAAAACAAGAAAATGTAAATTACCTTGAGAAAATCTGATCAGAAAGCGTTGCATGTGAACAGAGATCAATGCTAAGTTTTATTACAGTGGGCTAATGTCTGTATCATTGAGAAGGAACTACGACAAACTTCAAAAAACTAACAACCCTAACATCAGAGTTCCTTGAAAGTAGCATTAGATGAATGCTAACATAATAAAGACATATTGAAACAGATTTAGGCTAAAATTGAACTTTTAGATTTTTTTTTTTTAAGACCTTGAGCCTAAAGTGCTTTGTGTGATTGTTAAGAAGAAAAAATCACGATAGAAACACAGTGAATCTACCATCATCTGCAGCCGTGCATGTCTCCAGCTCGGAGTTCTTGGCTGCACGCCACCTTCGCTGTGGTCAAGAAAACAACGACGCAGAGAATCACGTAAGATCTTCTCACCATCTGTATAACAGTGGGAACGGCTCTGACTGTAACTGTATAACACGGCAGCAGATGGTGAAACTTGCCCCCAGCTCCCATCGTCCAGTGCATGAGCACGCTCTATAGTGTATGATCTATAAATACCAATGCATGTAACACAGCTGATTTAATGAGTTTCATGGTACTGATATTTACTGTGTGCAACGTTCTCTGAAAAGGATTTTTGTTTTTCCTCAGACGAACATCATTTGGAAAAAAGCGGTCGGTAGCCTTTCATGCTTTTGAAGCAATTAAATATAATTTCTTCCAGCAGAATACAAAACAAACAAAAAAAAGATGCTTTTCAAGATTCCTTTTAAAAAGCAGTTTCTGTGAGTCTCCTACACGAGTTGCTCAGAAAAGAGTTTTCGAGGTGAGACGGGGGTTTCGCTGCGTTTTAAATGGAGCTGACTCTGTCTGTGACAAGTGTGGCCTCAAGCTTGAAATATACATGTTGTGAGTACAAGAGAAAACCCAGGTTAAGATTCAAAACAAGTGTTTGGTATTTTTATAGAAGTGAAGATAAAGATCTTTATCCCTTGTCACTAATCCATTTCCTCCACGATGCTGCTGAGGGATACTCCTCCGTCTCTCATTTATAAAGGCTGCTTCCCTGCAGATCTGGCACACAGATTAAATTTGTCCTGTCTTTTTATTCTCTCTACATCCTGTTATACAAACTGTGCCGGCTTGTGTTTTTTGGCTGAACAACCAGTTTCTTGTCACTTGAGACCTCCTGCTCTCTCTTTGTCTTCCTTTTAATTTGAAACCACCGACACCTGAGAAATGCGAGGTGCTGAAGTGGTGTATTGTGCAGTGTTGTCTTTATTTTCTTTAATGGACAGTGTTAATTTTGTCGGCTTGGACCTAAAGACAGAATCAGTAAAGTTATAAAATATTGAAATAGATGAAGAATCAAGTCGTCTAATTGACCAAAACACAAAATAGTGAGCAGATGTAGAAGTTGTGTGTTTTTCTTCAGTTCGGTTTCCTTCAGATCAACACCCTGAGTTTCTATCACTCACCGTCAGAAACTCTAATCATGAGGCGGCTCCACCAGTTTCACCAGGTTAACATTAGACTGCTTTGCATTGTTATTCAGGCATCAGGGCACTTATTTGTTTGTATGATATTTGATTGTAATCTTATTTACCTGCATGAACAACATATCTTATGATTATTTTTAACCCCTGTCTGTTTGTTGTTTTTTAATTTTGGTGAAGAATCCGGTTCAGGGGTCAGATCCAGGAATTTTCTTGTGAGATGTTTTTTTTTAATATATTTTCTCAAGATTCCCATTAGAAGGATTAATGGATCTTGATTTTAAATCTAAATTAAAAAAAAGGTAGATTTAGGGAACTGATATTATGCAATTTCAGTGCAGATCCAAAGAAAATAAAGTGAATTTAAATGTAATTTCTCGAGGGGACTGTCGGGCCTTGGCGGACGCTTGGGCTCGACTGATTGCTCTTCGAGTTTTTGATATTTTTTCTGTGCGACTTAGTTTTACAGGTTGCGGTGAAAGGAAAAAAGGAGTGCACATGGAGAGGCTGTTTGAAGCACTATCAAGGGAGTCTCCTGGTAAACAGGTAGAACAAGTGGAGCGGCCGTCCAACCAGGAGGCTTCGTGATAATGAGGAGTTGGTGGAGGAGGAGGAGGAGGAGCTTAGCGTGAGGCGCGGCACACTCCTGCTTGATCCTCTGTATTCCATCCCCAGGCGTTTGGATGTAGCATCTGCATTCAGGTAGTATTTATAAAAAACCTTCCTCGTCCGCTTGAATGTGTAACTTTTTGTTTTGCATCCATGCTTTTGTTGAATTCTCTTAAAAAAATCTATTTATATAAATATATATATCCACTTATTTCTACCTATTTGAAAAGTCACAGTTTGAGTGAAGACAACCTTCTCATTGGATGTTTCTGTGTTTCCATCCCAGGCAGCAGCACTATGTCGAGACAAAGCTGCAGTCGCCGGGTGCCAGCTCTCCCCCTCGGCTGCCTGCCCTGGATCTCTGGCTTCTTGTTACACACTGCGACTCTCCTGAGCACGGGTAAGAATGCAAACACACGGGCAGATCAATTCCAGCCCACACTAACTCACTGACGTCTCCTCCCTCTGTTATCTACCACACTGTATTTCACAACACCGCGCTGAACGCGGCTTCTTTTTGTTTGTTTTTTGCCAAATGATCCCTGGTAGCTTGGTGTCTCTCTCAGCTGATCACTGCTGAGCTTAAGGCCTTAGTGGTGTGAGACTTCCCCAAGTGTTACCATGGCGCTCACAGTCTGTCCAATCAGGCGTTGAGATTATGCCTCCAGATGACTGTTGACTCCTTAATGATCCAGGGATTCCAGCTCGTATGTTGTTTTCTTGTGTCTGTGGCTCTGAATGCAAATTCTAGTTTCATGAGGAAGTGCATTTTATGTTCTGCACGCCGCTCGTTTTATTAAAAGTACAGGCTACAGTTCCTTTAACGTACACTAATACAAACTGCTATCAGTACACAGCACAGTTACACAAAGAGTGTTTCAATGAACAATATGATCTAAAACACCAATAACCAGAAGTTGTATCCAGTGCACACTTGGCTCTGTGCTTCTGTAGCTTTAAGATAAAATAACAGATTCTACATTAAAGTGTAAACTCTGAGCTTTCACCCAGGCAGGTTCACATTAATATACAAAGAGTTATACGGGAGAAACAGTCTAATATGGCCAACAGCTCGAGGCAAAGAAACTCATGATCATTTCATGTCCAGCAGAGAATCATTTGCAGTCAGTGATTTGCCTTAAGTCATTAACTAAAGCCATTTTCAGACATTTTAGACCTAACATAATTGGATCAGGACATTCTCCGGAGTTTGCCTTTCACAGGTCACTGAAATGTCCTTTCAGGCGCAGACAGGTGTGGCACAGCAGACAAAGGCGGTAATATATAAATTCTGCTGTAGAGACAACTTCTTCTACGTCTCATTTTAGCAACCGGTCGTTTGCGGGTAATCCTCTGGCCGATCTCTTGCTGTTTTCCCACATGCGCTCACTCTGACCAGAAAAACTCTCACTCGGACGTTTGCGTTGTCACATTCAGTCCCTCCGGAGAAAAGTCGGGAGATTATGTGGAGTTCAGTGCACGTCTGACAGCAGCTCCGGAGACATCCACAGTCGCTTTGCGTCTTCTCTGGTGAGGCTTTCCTCCAGCTCCATCCCTGCAGCCACCTTTAGCCCCTGTGCGTCGCGGCGTCTCTCCGTCTTCAGCAGCTCAGTCAGATTTAGCTTCAGGGTCAGACTCAGCCAGTGATAACAGCAAATTCCACATCTCTCACGCTGAAAAGCTCTGAGCTTTGTCGCTTTGTTGGTAGGTTTCTGCGTTTGTCCGGCTGAGTTATGTCGTCAGAGGGGTTTGACATTTGAGTGTGAGCCCAAAATGATGCTGTTTACCTCTGCATTCACTCTGCTGCCTCTGTCAGACATGGAATCATCAATTAATGCCTGCGTGCCAGTCCTATTGGCAGCTGCACAGTGTATATGCCAAAGCCATTACAGCACCACCACTGTGTTTGACAGATACGGTTGTGGCTCATGAGTTGTTTTCCTTTTTCTACAATTTCTGTTCCCCTGGTTTCTTTTGTGTTTTTGTGAGCTGCAGTCTGGCCGCTCTGTTTCCGACACTCACCGGGGGGGTTGCGTGTTCAATTCCTCTGAGATTACATGGTCATGAAATTGTCTCTTGACCTTAGTTAAGGAAACACGTCCACCCACGTCCTTGGGTTTTTTGTCACAATGCAAATGATTTCCCCACTTTCTGTTGTTCCTGTGAGGAATCATCAACCTTTGGAATCTCTCTGATAGATTTTTTTTTCTTGTGTCTGATTCCCTGAAGAATTGGGATTTACACAAGGGCTGCAGGTGACATCCACGGGCCCACAGACCCTCCAGAGGGCGGAGGGTGAGAGTGTGATCTTGGGCTGCAGCTTCACACTGAGCCCCTTTGACAGCGGAGAACTTGACATCGAGTGGTCGGTGGTCAGTCCAGACACCACGAAGAAAGATCAGATGGTAAGCTTCTAAGATCACTTGTTTAATTTGGAACAGAAAGGACCCAGAAATTAAAGCGAACCCCAAATATGACATCCATCCCATTCAAATGATTAGCAACGTGTGATTTGCTATTTCCCCTGGAAACCAGACCCATCATCTCATGTTTATTCACTTTTGCTGTTCAACCAAATACAAATTGTTCCGGTGAATCCAGGATCAGCCTCACATTTTTCATTTTCACTCAAATTAGTTGTTTATCCCATTTGCCCTTTAAACTAAATAAGTCATTAGTGTCCGGGATATTAAATTATGTTTTTTCTGGTCCTCATGTTGCCCTTTGGGAGCAGCCACTGTATCAGTCAATACAAGGAAAGATAAGTGAAGTCAGTGTACGTTACTGATTCCGGTGCAAATTCAATGCTTTGCACCAGAAGCAAACACTTAACATTCTTGTGTGCAAATACGTGTTTATCCACTGCTGCATAAATTAAAGCTGCACTAATGGATTTTCAGCCACTAGGGGGCAAAGGAAATCAAAAATGAGGTGACAAGCGCTTTAAAGTCAGTTTCCTGTTTGCAGAGAGCAGCAGACCCTCACTATCGTCCAAGTTAGACAGAGCAACATCAGCATTCACCTGCTGTCCCTCCGTCCTCCTGCTCAATGTCAGTCCAACAAACACTTCATGTCCTTAATGTCTGGTTAAGTCTCCATGATTAGAGGAGAACACTGGTTCCTCAAGTGCCAGATATTACACATTCTGCGGGTGTTATCTGTCTGCTGAGCAGGTAGTGTACAGTGGATTTGTCAGAGCTTGTTTGCTGCAAACAGCTGCCAGCTGCTGCTGCTGCTCCTGGAAACAGTGTTGGTGAGAGAACTGCACAGTTAATGTTACGTGAAAAAACAATTCAATGAGCTGCAAGAGGTCATGAAGCTCAGTGGAGCTGCAGCGTTGGTGGGTTTGTCCCTGTGAGGGACCCACAGCATTACATGTCGTCATTTGAGTCAACATAATATTATGTCTTTCTGTTTTCCATCAGCTGCTGTCCTACACCAGCGGCACTGAATACATGCATGGTAACGACGCTTTTGCACACGGGCTCCACTTTGCCGCTCCTGACCCCTCGAGAGGGGATGCTTCACTATCAATAGCTGCGCTGTCACCTGCTCATAGTGCGACCTACCAGTGCAAGGTGAAGAAATCACCTGGAGTGGACACGCGCAAGGTGTCACTGGTGGTAATGGGTAAGTCAGAGTGTCGGGTTTCACATACTGTCTGTCTGCTTACCGCATTATTAATGACCAGCACCTGGGACAGCTGTGCTATTGTTCGGTTTTATGGAAAATGCAGCTTCTCAATTCACGTTTTAAAGTTTCTACACTCAGGTTTGTTATCTTCCCGGGCTATGACAGCTAAGCTAATGGCCCACTATGTGATTTGTATCCAGTAAAAGAAACAGTTATAAAGAAAATGCTCAAAATGTAGTTCATCAATTGAATTTAGTAGAAAAAAGTGTCGTCCCTGTATTCTGTCTTAAGATGATGAAAGTGAAGAGATTTATCTGATTCTCGTCCAACCTACTTTGTTTGAAGAGCTCGAGCAGCAGCTCTGGTGCAGGAGGGGTCGTCTCATTTACACATTTATTTACTATGATTTTAAGACTGTTTATTATATCACACAACTTCTCACAAAGATGTTTCATGATTGATCCAATAATTGGCCCAGTTATAGAAAAATAAAGAATATGGACCCTGCGTCTAGGAAACAGTTGAGGACCCAAATACAGAGGTCACTCAAGGGAAAACAATAATAAGACTGAGCAAGTTCGGCAAGGGCAAGGTCAAAAAACACAGTCAGAAAGTTACACGGGGTTAACACAAGGAACTTTGACCGATGAGAAGACGACAATGAGCTTAACGAACAAGACGCAGGTGGAAGTTACGAGGGGGAGGAACATGCTCAGTGAGGTGCAAACATCAAGAAATCCAAATATTTAAATCCCGGGACTGACAGTGAAGTAAATTAGACTATTTGGGGCTTTGTGATGTCATCAAGGTTGGAAGCGGGTGTGGCTGCTTGGAGCCGCCCCCTTCCAAGGTCTAGATACTGAATAGTTGGTTAGTTGATGGCTCTGAGTGAAAGGAGATGAGTGGACTCACCAGGGCTCTGGATATGGAGACTGGAGGTGAGTGTGGGAGAAGCAGGGTCGCAGCCAATCACTGAAATTACAGATTTAAAACAGCAAAGACACAATTGGCTGATTGAGCTCATGGAAAAATCTGATTGGATTACCGTAAACAACCGGCAGCCGGTGAAATATTATCGTCAAATGGAACGAAATCTGATTCTCAATTTGGAGGCTGCATCTTTCAGAGGATGCCGTCTAACCACTTTCTTTCCGGGCCACGTAGACCGAGAAGGTCGAACTGAAATGAGACGGGTCCACGGGTGATTTCCAGCTCGTCCCCACCCTCATTGTTGTTGCCTGGCAACAGAGCTGAAGTTGGAGACACCTGGATAGTTGCCCCTTGCTTTTTTTAACCTGTAACTCTTTGGTTGAGCTAAAGCGTGGGCCAGGACGGATCTGCCCGTTGGGATTGAAGGATGCTTTCGTCGGCCACGTTTGAAGGTGCCTTGGAAATGGGACGGTCTAGTTGCACTGCTGTGATGCAGTCGGTCTTCAAATGCAGACTCTGAAGGATGCGGTCCCTGAACGGAGACTCAGCTGTGGAGAGAGTCGTCCTGACGCTTCACAAGGCCAAAACATAAAACATCTGCACAACTGAAAGACTTTTGAAAAAGGTCCCCAACAGAAACACAACAATTTCAAACAAAGAATCCCAAGTTCTCAAAAAAGGTCCAAGAAGTCTCGTCAAGAATAAGACAAGACAGAATCATAACAAAAGTGTGAATTATACATTTTCTTGGCTCAACTTTTCAATTTATCGATCCAGAGCTGTCAAAATGTCAACCACTGTTATTTCAAATTGATGCTCACGATGTTTTCAGTAGGTGGAAGCGGACACATCTGATTATTTACTTTAATGAGTGTCACGATGTGTGTTTATTCTTATATAATAGATCTTCTACTTCAAAATGACCCAAACTGCCTCATCTGATCAAATTTGTTCAAAATAACATCTTCATACAAAATCACCTTGTAAATGATGATTATTTAGCTTGTTTACCAAATAAGTTTCTTACAAATGACACAATCATTTTTGCACGATCAGTGGGGTGAGGGGCTGGCTGTGGCAGAGGAGGTCGCCCGCTGATCATAAGCCCGGTGGTTTAATTCCTGGCTCCTGTGGCCCTTGATGTAAAGTACTCTGAGTGGTTGTTACGACGAGAAAAGCTCTTCACATTTACAACTGACTTGTTGGACCTAAATTATTTCTTTGGACTCTCAACAAAAAGAACCTTGTATCAGATGGAATCAGGTCCGTGAAGCACGCTGTTAAATAAGAAGATAGATGACCGAAAAGCAACACACACACAGTCCTGGTCGATGTCGTATAAAAAACGCAGAGAGGTAGAAATGTACCAATGAATGGAGGCAAGGTTTTCTTTGTTTTCCTTCTGTTGCAGTGGAAAAAGAGAGACGCATGAGGCCAAAAGAACCTCTGAGTCTTTGAGTTGCAACATCATCAACGACACCAGAGCAGTTTCTATTCTCTTTCACCTTTTCACAATGAGACTGTTGGTTTAATGCCTCGTTTCAACAAAGCTTTGTTTCCTTATGCGAGTCAGTCAGGAGTGTGTTTATTCCCATGGCAACCTCTTCGATCTACAATGTGTTAGAAAACAAAGGAAGTTTTGTTTTGGACTTTGAACGGATCATATGCTACAGTAAGTTAGCAGAAAAACTAATTAGCTAAGAGGCTATGTCATTCAATTCAGCCGGTTTAACATTGTGCATCTTAATGTTACTTTACTCAAACATGAATCAAATCAAAGTTCTCCATTACATTCATATGCATACAATTATCGGAATATACATCAATAGATGTATTGATAATAATATAATAAATTTTTTGTTAACAGGCAATCGTAAAGCAAGACTTTATATTCCAAGTGCATATTTCGCAAAAAAAACAAAATGCATTGAGTTTGGTTGAGTCCATATGTGAAACAGAATTAGGGAAACTATGGTAACGAGAAGTCGAAGTTCAGTGTTTCAGTCTCGTTATCTCTTCAAGCTTCCGTTCCATATTGACTTTCGCATTAATTATGTGAATGAAGGCATTTAGTACATTTTATAGGATTTTCGAGTTTAAGATGTTTCTTCAAATCACATTCTCTCTATACGATTCTTCCTCTTGCCGTGGAAGCCACAGTCTAAATGCTTCCTCCCATTTCATCCTGGAGCTATTCAGCTGTACCGCTGCTTAAGAAACAGAACTGACATGGCAGCTCAAAAAAAAATAAATGTTGTCCCTTTGCCGTGTGATTACAGTGAAGCCGTCTGTGCCTAAGTGCTGGGTGGAGGGGGGGGAGCTGCTGGGAGAAGCTGTGGCTCTGCACTGTCAGTCTGCACGAGGCTCCACTCCCTTCACATACTCATGGAGGAGAGAGAGCGTGGGCCCCATCCCCGATACAGCCACGCAGAGTAAGTGTGACCTCTGCTGATGTCACGATGCTACTGCACAACAGAGAGTGCGTGTTGTGTGTGTGTGTGTTGTGTGTGTGTGTTGTGTACAGGCGGATGTGTAGTTTTTGATTCTGTGTGTGCAAAACTCAATTATCTCTTTCAGGGAACAGGGTGTGATTATTATTTTAGCTTTTTTTTTTTTTTTAAAGAGAAGGGATAATTGTTTGTTCTGATTAGTGAAATTAAAAAAAAAATATGTGAGATAATTGAAAACCCAGGTGAAAATACCACAAAGAAATAATGATGAAAATTAAACTGGGAATGTGCACAACCACCAGCTCAGAAGCATTTTCTCCCAACTTTCTTTATCCTCTTTATAGAATGACTGTTTTCATGAGTTGTTTTGACATGAAATTCATTGATCAATGTCCTTTTGCAGTGAGAAAACCTGCACCAGCACATTTACTCTCACAAAAGCTACATATTTCTAAGAGGAAGTTGATTAAAACAACAAACCTCGACAATGTCACACTTGTATTATTCTACATGTATAAACCAATCCGGAGAGATTAAGGCTCTTGCATGTAGAGCACAGTATGTTCTGCATGTGCTAATCCGTATCTGTGGGCGTTCTGTGCATGTTCTCTCAGACAGTGTGACCGGCGAGCTGAGAATCAGCAACCACTCGCAGAGCTTGGCAGGAGTCTACCTTTGTGAGGTGAACAATGCTGTTGGAGCCGAGCGCTGCAGGATCAACCTGAAGGCAAACAAACGTAAGAGGGGAACGCACGTGCCTGCACGAGGACGGCACATACGTGGTCAGGAAGACCTAGATTTCCTCCTCCTCTCTTTGTCGTCGTGCCAAAGCCTCCACACTGCTCCACTTCACTTTCAACATCGTGAATCATCCTCATTGTGTCTTTTAGACAGGAGGTCACGGTCAATGGAAAGAAGTAGCTTCGTTCATAGAGTGCTATCCTGGTCGTCACTTCCTGATGTGGAGTCACAGAGTCACTCACGGTTACAATAATGTGAAAATGATTCTCCTGCTTAACAGCTTCATGAAATGCAGCAACAACAATAGGTGCATTGATTAGAGCCGGCTCGTCAGAGTGATTCAATATAAATAGAATCATGAATATGCCTCAAAGAAAATCCCTTTAAATGAGGACAGTCCTCGTTTTATCATGTAGAGCAGAACCAGGGACACACCAGAGCTGCCTCACAGGGGGTGGATGTGGTGACTGTGGCAGAACCACCAGGGAGAGCAGCCGGTGATTCAGTGCACCATTACGGAATAAATCATCTCTGGACTCAGACTCAAACAAGCGCACTGGATTCTACAAATCCATAAATTGACTTTGTCTTTGTGTGCGTCGTGATCCGTGGAGCAGATCTTACATCTTGTCGAGTCCATAACTCCTGGTGTCAGTGTTCAGATTTTTTGGCACCAATCAAGGGGAACCATTCGTTTTCATTTCAAACGCAGGGTGCAGAGCTTCCGTCGCTTCAGCTTCGGGGAAAACCTGCATAACAAGATTGCAAGATTAATAGGAACTTGTAGAAAGAAGATTTCTCAAAAAAATGTTTCACTATTCCTTTAAAACAAGGTTGTTCTTACTTCCATGGTTTTAATTTAACATGGTTGAGTTGTGAGAAGACTATATCCCAATTCATAACTGCTGTCACCTAGCAACAGAGCTGCAGTTAATCACAATGAAAGTGTCACAGGGCACGATCACACACTTCAGTGTCCCTTGCTTCAGTTGATGAAGCTTGATGCTGAACATTTATAAGTGTAAGGATCAGCCACAATTGAACTTTAGATAACATATGTCATTGAAGCACAATGAATTCTGGGATAGGTTTGCTCGTCTGTTGCTCAAGGACGAAGGAGCCTTTGAAATGGGACAGCTTAGCCTCAAATGCTGACCACTGAATTAAGACACAACTTTATAAAGGCTCCACTACATCAAACAATAAGAGTATAATTGATTCTTCACAATGATTAACTCGTATTCATTCTGACTTCACAGCTCCAAACAGAGCAGCGGTGATAGTCGGCACCGTTGTGGGCTCCCTGCTCCTCATCCTCATCCTGCTGGTCTTCATCGGGCTCCTCTACTGGAGGTTGAGCCGCAGATTCCGCTTTGAGAAGGAATTCTCCAATGAGATCAGGTACAGACACCGCAGCTCCAGCAGAGAGAGCAGGGCACATTTTGTGGTTCGATAACTGAGCTAATGAAGGGAGGAGGAAAAAATCCACACATAGTGTCTGTTGGCAGGTTTCAACTCGTCCTCGTCTGTCGGCAAAAAGTCCCAGGAGGAAGAAACTCCAGCCTCTGTTAGCTAACGTTAAAGGGTTTGAACAATAGGATGAAACTATGGTGTGTGTGCACTTGTACATTTTTTTAGATTTGCATGAAAGTAGTAGAAGTAATAAGATGTTTTATGCCACGAGACAAAAAAATAAGGAATGAGATCAGCCAGTAAAGAGAGGACACGACACAAAACACTTAAAAATCTCTTCAATTAAGAATAGAACCAAATTACTTCACTAAAATAAAGAAAAATGTGAACACAAGAAAAGTGTAAATAGAAAAAGATATATTTTATAGAGGTCTACATTAACCAAACATGTCTCTCTCTAGTGATTTCATTTCATTCCTCCACGTTCATCTACACATTTGATTATGCAGAGCGTCGTCTGCTGTCTAAATACGAGTTCCTCTCCCTGTGTACAGCAATTTGATGAAACGCTGTTGAAACTCAAGGTTTTATGTGATGAGTGCAGAAGCAAACTGATTTTCTTCAGGTACGCTGATGCAAATATAACCGCTGACATAAATAACATCAGCTCCGCCTTATGCTCGGTCTTAAAAGTGTGAGTGGGATTCATTAAAAGTTTCAAACTCTTTTTGTTGATCGTCTCCGTCTTTCCTCAAAGTTTGGATAACGAGAAACTCTCTAGTGTCAACAAACTCTCCTGGCTGTTCTTGTCTTAAGACTTACGGCAATTATACAGTTTCTGTGGAGAGTGGTTTTTCAAACAAACAATAAAAAAAAAGCAATACCTTACACCACTGTGGGTCAATGTAATTAAATGTTATATTTACCTTTAAGAAGAAGTCTGCGTTCCGAAATTCTGGAAGGAGCAGCAACAACGAGGAAACACTGCTGGATCTTAAAAGTTTGAAATGATGAGAAATAGTTTTTTTTTTCTCTTACAGACATTTAGCTTTGCTTTGCAGTAGAAGTAGAAACGGAGGCGAGCACTGAGCCTGGCTGTCTTCAGCTGAAACTGAATCCACCTACAACCACTAAAGTTCACAAATCAAACCTGTAAGAACAATTTTTCACAGAAAGACATGAGAGGTATCGATCTCGCCATCTAAAGCTGAATCGGCTTTTCTTTGGCGTCTGATGTCAGATGGTAATGATGATGATGATGACGGCACTCACTGCTGGTTTTCACTAAAACAATTTTTTAATCTTCACTTTTGTTGCATGGCTCTCAAAGACAGCTATTCCGCCCTAGTATCAATCTCGGCGATGACCACGAGCCTCTAACAGGAGCTGCTGGTTCAAGCACATTTCAGTCCTCCGATGACGTAAACGGGGAAACGCCATCCTGGGTTGATCCAGAGGTGACAATCTGCAGCTGACCTCACATTCTGACACGTCTGAGAGGATTTCTTCTTTTGCAAAAAAACTGAAATATTTTGGAGCTGTGGTTCTCATGCAGTTGAAAACAGCCCACAGGCTTTTAAAGCTGATGTCGAATTGGGGGCAGCGTCGGCGTGGGAGGACAGTGTTGTGTGCAGGAGACAGAGAAGCATTCAGGGCCAGAATCCTTCTCCATATCAGCGATAGACAGGAGTTAAACTCTCCTCACACGAACATGACTTTGTGGAGAGAAGCTCATGTGAAAGAGATGGCAGAGCGTAATAATGCGAGGCACACAGCGATGGAGCCTCTCACATCTGTCACTTACTAGTTTTCAAAGTAAACAGTGCAGCTTGAAAAGTTCAGGGATGAGTCATGCAGAGCATTATATCACTTCAAGTACTCCATTCCCTTCATCCAAAAAAAAAAAAAATACAGTGAGAAAAATAAGACTGAAGCTGTGACTCAGGATCAAAACGCTGGAGTAGAAACCAACTGTAAATGTGCTCTGACAGCGAAAAAAACATTTTGAAACTCTATTCTTGACTTTATTCACTTTCACTGAACAAAGTCATTAAAACAGAGATGTTAACAAACAACCACCCAAAGCGCAGATTAAAAAAAAAAAACCAGAGATATGGAGATATTTTACAAAATGAAGGTCGTGTGGACGGATTTGTGCATCACCTGATTTTCTGACCACTCAAGGGCAACAGACACAAACTGAACACAGCGGCGACATGTTCTCCTTCAAAGTGTCAGAAAACACAAGGATTCGTTTGCTGCTGTGTTTCTGTCCATTTCACAAATAAATCTTTTCATGTTCGGTTTCCAGCGACCGCTGTTGGAAATATCTGGTTCTTTCATCACAGCTTTTGATGTGTTGCTAACAAATATTAATTACACTAAATAATTATTTATGCTCTAACCACTTTGTTCTTGAGGCAGCGAGGAGAGACTTGCAGAGAAAAAAGTTAAATGTGTTTCAATGTTAATTGTTTCCAGAAGAATCTTACGTAATAATGTCGGACAAATATCTTGCAACACAAAACATGCTTGGGAATGTGCCTCCCCTAAAGTTTAGTTACTCACTCATGTCTGCTTTGATTTAATTTGGTGGCACATATTTCCTGTCTTGTTTCACGGCAGCACACGTGCGACCCAAGAATCACAGGCTCAAGAGACTCGAGGCACAATTTCATCTTAACGAAAACAAATTTATTCCCTTAACCAGCAAAAAATTGGCATCCTTGGCCTGCACGGGATGAAAAGATGTCAAAGTGGATCTGTTGTGCGGGTGTTTCCTTTGACAGAGGAGCAGATCCGAGCTCCTGCTGCAAAGTTACGTAAATGCAGAATGCAAAGTGGCTCCTAAGCTCGGATGCTGGCAGCGGCGTTGACGAGGGGAGATTGTATTGTGTGCATGTCAGTGTTTTCTGGCTGAAACCAGCACCGGCATTTTTATCCCTTTAGCAGAAGAGAGAAAGTGAAGGCCGGGTCTCAGTGGAAGTGGGCACGGGGACGAGCATCCAAAGACAACAAAGATTTCTGCTGCTCAACAACCAGACAACATTACACAACCGTGTTCAAAATGGGTTCGAGCAGAGGACAAATCTTTGTGCACTTCTAACGACTGAATTTCAAGAACTTACGAGATCAGTTACATTGAAGGTTGAACTTCCTGTTGACCGTTTATGTGACAAAAGCGTGATGTCCAAAGTCTTGTTCAGAAGAATCAGTCGCTTCCTGCTCCTCAATTTAAACTACAATTTAAAAAGTTAGCGACTGCATCAACTCTATTTGACAATAATGTATAATAAGCTTCTGCAAACCATGACAGAGCACAGTATAAGTACCCTACGTTGTTGATAAGACCATTGGTTGAGTGAATCAAGAAACATTTTAAGTCATGTATCAAGAAAACATGTTTGCATGATTGGTTCTAATCCCTAAATTATGAGATCATGCAGCTTTCCTTTATCTCTAACATCGTTGTTCTGATGTCAAACAGAGAGGACGTCCCTCCTCCCGAGAGCCGTCCTGCCAGTCGCCACACGAGCCGGAGCGTCAATCAGCACCCACAGGTGACCTACAGTCCGGTGGGTGGGGGTGGGACAGAAGTGAGCTCTCTCAGTGAAGTACCCACACATCCGCCCTCGTGCTCCACACCAGTCGAAAGCAAACCGCTCGAACACGGCGGCAGGAACGGATACGCAGTTTGAACTGAACTGAGAGGTATTAACTTCAAGAAGTCCAGAAAGTTTGTGAAGTTGAATTTGAAAATGAAAGTTTCAGAGTTTCGTGAACGGAACTCAAAGCTGTGCAATGTGAATTATTAAAAAAAATTTTTTTTCTTCTATTGCTAAACAATTCAGGAGCGACTGTGGACGTCGCTGATCATGACAAAAGCTTAAGTTATTACATTTTGTGTTGAGATTTGAGTGTTTTTATAATTTGCAATAAAACATTACAAATTAAAAAGAACCCACTGTCTTTTTCTTTTTAAACAAAAGAGAAATATTTATTTCATGATAGACCTCATTTGGAAATACTCAACCTTTCAAAAAAAATGTACACAATGAAGTACTTTTTTTTTTTCCAAGGATGTACTGACAGGAGTTGACAGATCAACAGCCACATGCAATGGGTTTTTGTCCACTACATAAACCCCCCCCCACCCCCCCACCCCACCCAGACCCCAGAACTTTGTGTCCTCAGGGGGAGCGATCAGCCTTTGTTGCACCAACTCACATCACAGACGATCAAACGTAAATCTGCATCGTCTGCTCAGGAAGTGTTTGTGAGCCCGAGCTGATGTGCTCAGTGTTTGCACTTTATTTCTCAGTGTGTCGTCTGAACGCTCCGATGCTTCGCTGGCGACGAGGAGACACTCATTTCATTTTATGAAAATAGCGAATCCTATTTTTTTTTGTAAAGCTTTTTTCACTTTTCATTTCAAAATTAGACAATTCCAGTGTAAACCCGCAGCGATACATTAAAACTGAAATGTGAGGGCGGAGGATACGAAGGATAAATATTAAAAGTTATTCAGTTTATTGTACATTGAATGGAATGTGAAATTAATGAACTCAACTTTTAAAGACATCTGAATATCTATATAACAAATTAAAAAGTCTGCTGCATTTATTCTCTCTGAGGGAATCTGTATGCCAACTCACTGCAGACTAAATGGCTGTTAATCAGTAAAAAAGTATTAAAGCCTCTGGGGAGTAAATGGAAACACTGAGCACTGCACCCCGAGAAAATCCCAAAGTGATTAAGGGCTCCTTCTGTGGATTTATATGAATTAGCACAAACAGTTCTTCCTTCAGATTTAAAACTCTTTTGACACTGTTTAATGTTCACCAGTCAGAGCGGATTCAACACGTGTAAAAACCATGAATTAATATTCGAGGAGAAAAAAATCCCATCACCTGATCATCTGTAAAAATAAGGCAAGGTACAAAAAAAAAGATTTTAAAAAATCCATGCACACATTAAAAATATGGCAGAATTTGGCTTCAAATGAAAAAAACAACAACAACAACAACAACAACAAATGGTCCAGTTCTCAAAACTAAAAATAATAATCTTGATTCTGTGCAAAAAAACAAAAGTAGAAGATTTAAAAGTGATGAGTGGTTGTCAAGTGGAACGTCTCCATGATTCCCTTTCGCATCCGGCTGATTACACCCTTGTGACGCCAAAACTGATGTGAGCGGCGTGTGTGATTTGTTGTTGGCTATAAAAACCCTCCTAAAGTCTCCGAGAGTCCAATCCCGTCTCCAGTGCGGACGCGTTAAATGCTTCACCATCTTGTTTTTCCCCCCGTGTGTTGCTGTTTAAGTGCCTCTGTCCTCCGTTTCTTAATAACGTCCTCTGGATGTGGACAGACGTGTGTGTTTTCCAGGGGAAGGCAAAGTTCTTTACTGGCTGATGTTGAGGTTCAATATGCAACGACCATTCTTCAAAGGCACCGTACTGTACATTGGTCGGCGTGTGTGTGTGTGTGTGTGTGTGTGTGTGTGTGTGTGGGCCGCACATGGGCACATGCACACATGGAGAAGTAAAAACAAAGTTGATTCCCTCCACTGGTGTCAGCCCACAAGGCATCACCATGACAACTAAGGCAAAAATCTCTCGACATGAAAACAGAGCGTCAGTCTTTCTTTTTTTTTTTTTTTCTCATTTTAGTTTTTCTCATCTGATTCTTTGCTGCTGCTAAAATCAACGTCCCCACGATAATCATTCGTAATGATAATAATCTCTATTCAATAAATTATCTATACTGTACAATTATTTCACCTCACGTAGACCTGCAACAAAAAGGGGCGTCTTTTTCATAGTAAAGCTTTCCATGGTCCGTCTCTGCTGCGTCCTCGGTTCAAGACAAACAGCGCGGCCAGTTTCTTTCTTCTTTCCTGTACACAAATTAAACAGGACGTCCTGCAAAAAACAAAACAAAAGCAAAGCTGATGCATAATTGCAGATAGAGAAACGGGAGAGGAACGCTCGCCGGGAAATCCAGCGGGAAAACAACAGCAAAAAAAAAAAAAAAAGGGAGTTCTTTTATTCCTTGTGTCATTTTCCTGGGGAGAGTAATTTTCTCTGAGAACAGTAGGTAGAAGATGGTTCCTGATTTAAAAGGAGCCAGGCCGGCAGACATCCCAGCTTTACTGCACTCCCTCTTCATCCACGTAGGTTGAAGGAAACCATCCGATCTGAAACATGAAATAATCAGAGACGCCTTTTTGTTATCGCAACAGACGTTAATTGGGTTCATTTAAAAGTCTGTGTCACACCAGGTTTAAAATAGATAATTGTTGACACTGAAAACAATCAGCTGGAATGTGTCGCACTGAGGCCACGCAGAATACTTTGCTCTAATTGGCTGAGGGCTGTGCATTATTCTCAGGCTAAGAAGCAGCAGCAGCAGCCTCATCCCCATTTAGAATAATAAAATACTTACTTTAAGTTCTACTTCTGCCGTTGCTAGGCAATAGCTTCTCCTACTTGTTGCAATAGTAAAGTGGCTCCTGTGCTGACGGAGGCAGCGCCGACAAAAAGGCTTTATTCACAGAGCACGTTGTCCTAATTCATAAATAATCAATATTTCTTCTTTCTTTAAATTCCTGGCAAGAGGTGATGTGCACAGGCCTTTGTGTTTAAACCTCACAGAGAAGAACAGGATCCTCCCTTTTGTTTGGATGCTATAAGATCATATTGACAACATATTTTATTTAGAACCACGTTTCGTATATGAACCGAGCTCAGGGTGCAGACAGGGCAACTGTCATTAACTGGTCAGGCTCTAATTTGTTTTTAAAAGCCATCCTCCTTTAATTTACTGTAAGTTTTCCATTCTTCATTATAACAGACCGGTAACTTCAATTCAGTTTGCTGGTACAACAGTAGCTGCAGCACCAGTCTGGTCTCATTACAAGAGTTGAGGGCGCTCTTCAAGCTGCACAGCTTCACATTAGCTCGGTCAGATCTGCACCCTAAAGTAGAAACAGTCCTAAAATAAAAAAGCTGAATTCACATCCAGTTTTACTGCCAGCTTTTAGAAGTGGCACATTTCCCAGCAGCCGGGCTTTTACTTTATTGTCTCTACCACCTGCTTCAGAAGAGCTCTGCAGTTCAATTATTAAATCCAGTCACTCGAGTACCAGGATACTTTTTAGGGTAAAATACATAAATGCATGTTTTTGACATTTGCAAATCTGTAACTTAAAGAAATCAGCAGCTTGAGCTGGTTTTTTTTTTCAACAGTAAATGAAATAAAAGCAACAGAACTAGATTTTGCAACACATGAATAAACATTATCGTGGTTTACTCACTCGTCCGTTGGCCTCTCCTTTCCACCAGCCCTGGTCTCCACCAATCTTGCTGTAGATTTTGACGATGTCTCCTTCTCGCAGCGACAGCTCCCTCATGTCCCGCGCCGCAAAGTTATACCTGGCCACGGCCGTGCTGACCACCCGCGGAGTGAACACTGGAAACGCAAGCGATGGGAGATCAATCCAGTCACAGATTAAATATCAGCTTATTTTCATCACAGCTTTTTTATGCAATGCAACAACTGAAGTTGTGAATCGCTAGTAATGAAGTTAAATAACAATCTGTATGCATGGGGGACAATGGGGGGGTAACACTGATCATTTTATTAGTAATTAGTCGTGAAGAGAGAACAGAGGGATGACGCTCGCCTCAGTGTTTCTTGTGACACTAATGAGCTTGATGAGAAAGGACAAGTTGTTTCATTAAGGGAAAGGAAATAGCTTTTCTTTTTTAATGAGGGATTGTCTTTCTGCAACTGAAAAGTCCTCGTTAATGAAAATAGCACCGCAGAGAGCGAGTAATGAGGCTAAGAGCGCCGAGGCTTATTATGAAATTACAGGCGGCGAAGTGTGGGAAGGGCGACAGGAGCAAGAAAAGACACAAAAATCTGGTACCTGACCAAAAGGGAGCTGAGCTCTGAGATGAGGAGAAGTTGAGGCCCTGCGGACTGAGGAAGGAGAAGTTGTAGGAGGCGCAGGAGGCTGCTGAGAGGAAGACAGGAAGAGAGAGAGGAGGAAATAAAGCTGGAAAGTGATTTTGAGGCGTGTGCATGCAGAGCTGCAGAGAAGAGGAGGATTAAGAAAAAGAGCAAGCTTCATTTGTTTGGATTGTGTCTGCAATTTAAGAGTGCATTCTATTCTGACTTTATTTAATCTCAACGGTTCCTTTATTCAAACAATAACCCTGTTTACAATCCACAAATTCATTTATTTGTGGATTGTAAACAGGGTTATTGTTTGAATTGTCAGTTTATGCATCATTTAGCGAACTTTACTGTTGCATATAAATACAGTCCGACTGAATCGTACCCACAAGATCCTTTTAATGGAAAATAAAGTAGAACCAACCAAATATAACATATTTCAATTCAAAACAATTATTTTCATATTGCAGCATCGTTATCTCATAATGTGGCTGATGAGTGAAACAGCCACGTTGCTCAGAGACAACAAGATGAAACCAAGGACCCGAGATGTTCGGGACACACGCACCCAGGTCTGATCATCTGCGTGAGGGGACGGAGAAAACTCGTTCAACCATTCTTCCCAGTCCCGTCACTGTTTCCATGCAAACCTGCAGGGGTGGGATGTTCCTGCAGCCTCAAAAACCCCAGGCAGGAAAAAGACATTGTCTCCATTCATTTCCAAATTTAGCCAAAGCAGGAAGGAAACAATCCCTCTGTAGTGGCCAGTTGGGTCTTCCTGCGGAGCCCACAGAGGCCGGCCCAGCGTAGGACAGAAGCCAGTGCGAGGCAGGAGCCAGTATTCATTCGGTGTAGTGGACAGCGAGGGCAGCCAATGCAGACAGCCAGTCCACCGGCGTCTTACTCAGCTGACAAACTCCTCCTCTTTGTCTTGCTCGCTTAATATATTTCGCTCTGTTGCCTCATTTTCTGACCCTGTCCCCCTCTGGCCCGCCTCCATTTCTTTTTGTATTTGTCAAGAGAGTCATTGGCCTCGGAAAGAACAGAACACCGGGGGAGGTGGAGAAAACAGGTTGCAGCCTGTCTCATTTATTTTCCACTCCCTCGCATTATCCACAGCCAAGATGGCAGGGGATTAAATTTGTAAGCCGGACCTGCACTTTATGTTTTGCACTTTATAACATCTCTTCGGAGTCAAATTAGTTGTGTCCCTGCCATTCATGGAAGCCAGCAGACTTATAAATAGGCAGAAATGTCCAGCCAGTCATACGTCCATCTAATTTCTGTCTCTTATCTGGATCTGGGCTGTGGTGGCAGCATATGTCCTTGTCCATGGTCACATCTTCCAACTCTTCCTGAGGGATTCTAAACTGTTTCCAGGTCAGGATGCACCAGAGATCCCGGTGTCACCCTGCAGAGACAACACTGGCCCGTTTGGATTACTGGATATAAGAACCAGGAGTTCTGCCAACAAGGTCTCAGGTCTTTTCTGGCTCCTTGACTCTGAATTCTAACCAGACAGACAAGTGTTGTCACTTCATGTCCACTGTCATTCTACGTATTTACACTAAGATAAGAAACAACTCGGAATTAAATGAACTGACGCACAAAGAGCAGTTCACGTTTATTCACAGTTCCGTGAAGATTGACTCAGTATACACAACTGGAGAATCAGTTGTCATCGCCGTGGGCGTGACGTTAACGTGATCGACAGCGGCGGCTGGTCGGCTGTTTATTCAAAGTTTATTAATATTGAACGTGTTGTTTGTTCAAACCAAATTCAACAGTGCACTTCCTCTGGGCTTTAACAACACACATGTCCAGAGTCGAGACGATCGGATGAACGGTTTTCCAGATTCACGAGCCACACACACACAGACGAGAACTCTGGAACTATTACATTTATTCATTAAAGTATCATTTAAACAAAAGTTCAGGTCATGAAGCAGAAGAAAGCAGGAAAAATGGGAGTTTGGCCTTGGTCCATTTGTAATTTCTCAGCTGACTTTTCCTGGTCGTTCATGTCTGTAAATAAATGTTTCCAGGACTAACACATCTTGGTATTAGCATCAGGTCAAGTGCCATGTCAAAGTCCGACTGTGTTCTGACATTTGCAGAGAGCGACTTACCTGGAGACCGCGTGCTGGCCCGCGTTAGCGAGCGTTCTCTCGACTTGTAGGGGTATCGCAACGTGGTATCTAACAACTTGAAGCTTTCTTTTAGTGAATGGGCCTGATAGTACTCCACCAGCTCCTGTTGTGTGGAACAGAACAGAACGGATATTTTCACCCCGACATCCAGCTTCTATTGGTATTTATGTACAGACGTCCGAAAACACGACTCACCAGGAGACTCTCAAACTTCTTGGCCTCAGTGATGTGAATCCAGTTGTCTTTTTCAATGACTTTAATGTGCTTCACTTCATCATTGAATCTGTAAAATCAAACAGCATAGTAACTACAGAGAACTCACCGATCAAATGACATTTTGCAAGACAACGTCACATTTTGTTGTATTTTATTCTAATTTACATTTGCAGCAATGAGTTTATATACGCTCAAAATATTCTGTATTGTTGTAGAAAGTTGTTCTTAACTCATCAGTCCTAATTGGCCTTTGCACATTTCTTATAGACGCGATATTCTACATTACATATACATTATTATGTGACAGCTCGGACATTGTATTTCCTCGAGATGCATTCTCTCGGAGGGAACACACACAACAACAGGATTTAAGAAAAAGCAATTACTGAGTGGTAATTAGCCAGAGCTGAAAGATGCACTGAGAGAGCATCCCGTGAGAATCTCCCATGAGGTGAGAATAAAAACCTTCCCCTTGAGATTTTTTCTTCCCTCCTGTACGATGCGACACACTCACTTGATGCTGATGGCGAACCTCTCTGCCTCGGCGGTCCTCTCCCTGATAAGGTAAGTCCCGCTGCAGTGGGATTTCAAGAGGTTGTCGGCCTGCTGGCGCTCCATGTTCCCTGCAAACCTGCAGCGAAACGCAGAATAAAGGCGGTGACCTCCAGATGCAAAGTGATATCATCGAACGACAGAATCCACAAATCCTCGACTTCAAACATGCGTGTGGTAATTAATCTTTGGGTGGCGGCTACGTTTGGAGCTTTGAATTTTGAATTAGTGCGTGAAGTTAACATCAGTAGATCTGGGTTAATATAGAAAAGTAACCTGGGGGTGATAGAAGTATATAATATATAAGGTATGAGCAATATGAAGGGAACAATAGTCTGCACCCTTCTGAAGTTAAGGGTCTTACCAGGGATAACCGTAGTAGTCTGATTCCCTTGAGGACTGCCGGCCCGATAATGACTGGAAGGGCTGCAGCAAACAAACAGAAGCTGCACATTAAAGAAGTTATAAACAGAACACGGGGGTGGAGATATATATATATATAGATAGATTTATATATAGATTTATATGTAAGCCCCACACAGGTAGTTAAGTGCACACTTCAGAGAAAAGGCTCTGTTCTCAGAAGTCACACACACTGCAGTGATTCAGTGAAAGCTGGTGACAAACCTTTGGGTCCAAACAAGGTTTTACACACGAACTGGGAAAGAAGCCGCTCTTCTGTGTTTGTATCAGTTTCCCCTGGAAAATAAAGAGCAACGTTTATTAGAAAAGCACAGAAAGAGAGAGAGAGAGAGAATTCAAAATGTTTTACACACACTAAACAGATGAGGGTTTAAAAATACATGAAGAAGGAAATTAAAACTATTAGTATGTTTTCTTAAGTATTGGAATAATATGTGAAGGTCCATCGAAGAGACTGTAAATCAATACATTTTAAAAAGAAGAAAGATCATCTGACACCATACAATACAAAATAATAGATATGATATATAAAACAAATGTTCATAAATAAGCTATTTATTGCAGGTGTACAGTCTTTTGTACAGAAATAGAAGATTTGCAACTTTGGCGCCCACTAGTGGCAGCATCAGAAAAGACTGTGCTAACAGACTGCACCAGTTTGATATTGTTGATGTTGTTATTAACAAAACACAATTCATATCATTTTAAATAGAAATCTGTATCTCTGCAAATAACTTTCATTTCAAGTTTATCTAATAATGACATTCAGAGCATTCCTGGGAACAGCACTTCAGGATGAAGGTGTGTGTTCCACAGCACACGCATTAAGAAAATAAATAAAGTATATAAGTAATATCAGATGTTGCAAGTTATCTCAGGTCGGTATAAAGAAAACAGGTTATTAATATAAAGGCTCTATAATTAAAATATTATTCCTCATGTATCTAATCCAAACCTGATCGATAGTGTTTATTTTTGGTTTTATGTGGGATTAGACCTCAGATTATTTCACATCAGATATAAACAAGATTTTAATCGGTGAGCTTTAGAGGTTCTGCTCGGTCGATTGTGTTTCCTTTGTTCAGCTGAGGAACAACTTAAAACATCCTCGGAGCCAGAGTCAGCACTTTGACCTCGGAGTCAAGGAATCGATGAGCCGGAGTGCAGAGCCAACAACAACTGTTTAAATAAAGATATTCCCGATTTACATCTGCACACGGTCTCAGAGAGAAGTGACACGGAAGTGCTGCTACCTCCCACCACGTCGTGTCCGGGTCTCCCTTCAGCAGCTCGATAAAATCACCCGTCTGAAAACACAGCGGCGTCTTCCCCGGAGGTGTCGGCGTACCGTGGTAGTTCCTCACTGCCACCATCTTGGGACCTGGAAACACGAACATGGATTTGTGCATTAATGGAAAGGATAAAATCAAAACTGAACGTTAGCGTCGTTACGTTTCTAAAAACCTTCATATTTATCGGCAGAGAAAGATTGTGGTGTTATTGTTTTGGGGGAAATTTACTGAGGAATTTAAGAAGCAAAGATCCAATGCTCAGATCCTCTGTTAAGATTTCTGCAGTGTATTTTGGATTTCCCTCTTTTTATGATTTGAGCTGATAACACAGAGCTGTTTTTATATTTAAAAAGTCCTGCTCTCTGGGTGAAGCAATCTCCAATAAAAACAATATGACCATAAAATCCAGGATCTATCATTACAAGCCATCAAAAGCCAGAAAATACAATACACCAGTCCAATTCTGAATATCTTCAAATCTTTGAATCCCCAAAACACTTTTAAAGTACATACAGTACTAGCTCTGTATATATTTGCATTGCCCCCCCCCCCCCCACCCCGCACACTCAATGAGTCTGATAAACTTGTTTTAGGTTCACATGCAGATGAACGTATCCACTAGATGTCAGTAGAGAGCTGTGCTGTTCAGCCTCTCTCCTGAAAAACTGACAGAATGTCCATGTTGACATGTTGGACGACAGGAAGTGCTCGTACCTGAGGACATCCCAGGTTCCTATTGGAAAAGAAAACACAAATACATGATCAGTGATACAGACACAGAGGCAGAAAGCAGGAAATGGTGATGATGAACATGATGTTGCTGTATTTGACCAACTCACCAAGTCGTGAGGATCTGAAACGAAAGACAAAAGACATGGACACAGTCAGGATTGATTAATTAATCATTTAACAAATTGATTATTTAACATTTTTAACATAAATATTGCAGAATAAAAGCCCTTTAAGAAATAATAATGATGATAACATGATACTGAAGAAGTTGAGAGGAGACACCTACTGATTTTACAGATGGTGATGACTTCCAGACACTCTTTATGTGCTCCTGTTCCACAGCGAGAGCAGTAGTAGCCCTGATAGAAGATGCCCCTGAGGACACACACAGGAAGACACACACACACACACGCTAATGTAAACAGGAAGTGTCTCAGACGCAAATTAACTTCTTGTAAGTACAGCCCACCAGGGATCCTGCTGCTACTTAGTATAATTCTATGATTGCTGCTACACATGCTCCATCATCTCCATCCTGTGATCCCTTTAAAATCACAAAATCAACTCGCTCTACTTAAGGCCATGCTCTCCTGCACTGTATTTGATACACATACTATAACGCTGCGTGCATCGCACACTGCCATGTTGAATAGTGAGCGCCATAAATCACAACGGGATCCGCTGGGGCTGCAGCAGTAATTAGCATCTCGCAGGGAGTGAGAAACGCTGGTCCCTGCCTCCGCCGGCTCGCTGGATCTAGGTCAGCCGGGCCGTGAAATTTGTGGGTCAATACGCAGCGTGGAGTTTAGCCGGCCGACTGTAATAGAGGTGAAAGTGGTTGATTCAGTGACACGGGCTGTCCCTGCTGCAGCTCTCACATGGGACGAGGTGTGTGCACAGTGTTTCAAGATGTCAGCCTCTGTCTCACTTACTGGAATATGTCCTGAACATTACTTCAACGCTGACGAGGGACCAGGTTATGTGGTCGTTTCTCTCCAGTTCACTCTGGAGATCCATAAATTCTACTTCGCGTACGGCTGCTTAAAAACTGTGGTGAACAATAACCATGTAGATTAACTCCAGTGTCACGTCGATTTACTGTTGAACTACCCTGGAGTATGTAAGATCAAATTGTTTTTTTCTGCTAAGTAATACTTCATTCGTTCTGAGTGGATTGTAGTTTTTACCCTGATACCTATATATTGAATTTTCCAATTTAAAATGCTGCATAAAAAACACGATGAACTTTTAAAACGTGTACCTGTTGATAGTTACTAGTGAATAGCACTTGAAGAGTCTGAATGAGGACCCATTCATCACTCAGCCATAATGTCACTGCAGGACATGACAGTGATGTTGTGCACGTCAGCACCAGAGTGGAGGGGTCGTTACCTCAGCAGCATCCTGCAGGCTCGACAGTTGGTGTTCCTGTCAAACGTGTGCATCTGGAAGTTGTGCTGATTGGCTGTGGCTCTCTCTGGCTTGATGTTGGACCTGGATGAGAAGAGTAAATAATCCTGATTGAAAGCAACTGAAGGAATCATTTACTGTAGTTTCCCGTGATCAAGTTCTCTGGTGTTTTAAATGACGGGGGAAAAACTCCCATCTGGTTATTTCATCCAGAGAAAAGTTGAATTTCAAAATTCTAATTTTACATTATGCTGTGACAGAAGCTTCATAACTACAGTGGAATTATACTTACATGGCCATTTCAAACTGCTCCATCCACTTCCTCTTTGTGTCCTCGGTTTTACAAAAGAACTGGAAGCCCTGCTTCCCCTGCAGGTGGATCAGGTAGAAACCGTATGACCACTGGAGGGGAGGCGAGGGAGAGAGAGTGAGGAACAGATGGCAGAGACACGTGTGGGCGGTGATGACGGACAGAGATGAGCCACAGAAGCTTGTGATACAGCTGTTTAAACAGTATATGTATGTATTGTATATGTTCACATTTCATTTTGAGCTAAATGAAGCTCCACGTGCTTTAGCGATGCGTTTCACCAACAAGCTGCAGAGCCAATCACAGAGCTGGCGGGTACACGTGCAATCACAGCGTGATACCCATTAAATCAACAACTGCCAAAGGTAGGCGGCAATGAGAAGATGAGTTAAATAAAGGGGGTCGCTTGAGCTTACCATTTTTCCACTTGACTGGTAAGCATGCAAAAAGAAAGACACCAGAGAAAGACCCAGTTACACATGCAGACATGGAGACACATGCAGATTCAAAACAAAGAGATAAAATAGGCCATGTTAGAGGAAAGCACTGCGGAATGATTTCATGAATCCTAAATGACCGTCACTGCATTTACACGTTCTCTCGAGCATGAGCGAGCACAATGCATATCTGACACTTGACTGCGTCGCTCCTCATTTTCCATATCTGTAACTAGCATCAACGAGCTCCTTCGGCTCAGGAGCGACATCGGTAACGATTACACAGGAAGGTTCATCAGCTGATTAGCAAAGATCTCATAAGAAAAAAACTGTTCTGCTCCAAACGGCTCATTTCTTACCTTCTTCATGTCGCGGTTGTTCATGGGGTCGTCGGACATTTTATACGACTGCAGCTCGATAATCTCTTTGAGCTCATAGCTATAACCTTTCCTCTTGCAGACAATGACCACTTTATCAAAGAGGAAAATATACCTGAAGACACACACACACACATTTAATTTATCGTTCAGCCGTGACAGTAGGTTTCGTTTCAGCTTTTGAAGAGTTTGGACTCACCGGTCCTGTTTCGTTCGGTTGACGATGGAGCAAACCTTCAGCTCTCCATCGATCTTTGGCCTCCCGTACTCCTCCAGCTTCACCTGCTGCTTCGGTCAAAAACACACACCCCATGTCAATCCACTGCATGTTAGAAAACTTAATGAGAGACCATTAATAATTCAGCTAAATCTGAATTTCAGAGAGAATCCAAATAGATACGTAATGAACAGTGCAGCAAGGAAACTACTAGTTACAGTTTGAATCCAAATTTCTGGATCTATGGAACGTGTAAGAGTCCAGAATTAACCGAGTGACTTTGCGCCTCAGCAGGAAACAACAGGTGTTGGAGCGTCGTGACAGAAAAACGGAGAGTGAACAACCATCTGGAATCCACGTAACTCCAGACTTGATTTATTGAGGACAATCCTGACAGGTGGAAGCAACGTGATGTAAACAGTCGGAGCAGATGAGACACAATGTGGACATTTTTCAACAATGGGCGAATGCTCGGTGACACTCGGTGACTTATCACTCTGACAAACTTTACACTCCTGCCTGGTGATAACATTTGTGCCGCTGTATTAGATTTTTATTCACACACACAAAACTGACGTCTATAAAGATGTCGAATCAGGAAATGTGACAATAGCGGACGTAAACTTTTATTTACAGATGCTTCAAACCTTTATTTGACGGTTAGGCAGTAAAGGAGGAGAGAGGGAGAGAGTGTGGAAGACGTTTGATGCTGCGATTATGCTCGAATGAATCGGTCTGTGGGTGCAGCAACTGTGATATCAACACTTCCCCTTTTCTGCTTGTGGTGTGAGGGACCTGTGCAGAGTTCTACTAAATGATGGTTGTCGCCCAACTCCGCCGGAAAAAGGCAAAAAAGGCAGAAGAGGAAGAAATGCAAACAGAGGAGTTTTCCTCCGGGGAACTTCGCTTCAGGCTTGTGTGCACTTCTTCGCCTCGACAAAGCGGTTGTGTAGTTTTTTAACAATAGATTCCGGCAGAATGTTTCGCCTTTACCAGCGATTTCTGTGATTCCCCTCCTGGAGCCATCTGGGAATCTCTTCGCTGCCTCATGAAATTAATTCAGTGTCTCCAAACACCTCCAAATAAAAATGAGCGAAACGACGCTGTGCACACAAGGACGGGGAAATGCAAGCGCAATCTAGGCCTGAGTCCCGAACACAGTATTTCAAAATACTTACAAGATTTTCGATTGAGCTTTGGAATTCGCTGATTTTCTTCAGCGTCTCGTTGTCCCGCTTCACTTCATTGATGTACATGGCCAAGTCCTGAGAAGACAGACAGCGAGACAAACTTTCAGCTCTTTCGGCCTTAAAGTGAAAAATCTTTCTGACAGCTGTCATATCAGGGTCAAATTACGCTACTTCAAGCCACAGCGGCTGTATGAAGGCATTTATGCATCTTTGGCTTTAAGCGCTGCAGAGTTCTTATGTAATATGTTTTTAAAGCACACTCATGAATGCACAAACGTGTGTAACACAGACCTGCATCGCCTCCAGTGCCTCTTTCAGCTGCTGCCTCTCTGGACGGTCAGTTGAATGACTTAAAAGTTCCTGCAGAGGGAGACGAAGATGATTTTTATTATTCGTATGATTTAAAAAAAAAATATAGCTATTAAGAAATACCTCTGCTGTCTCAAACCTGCAGAATAAAATATATTTTCCGAAATAAATTAATCCTATAGAGCTACAGTTGGACGGGTGTGAGAGATGTTCAGTATCTGCTCTTTACTGTGATTATGGATGTGACACTGACGCGGCCGCAGATAGAAACAAGTCAGCAACGTACATAAAAATAAGACAAGCAGAAGCTGCCAACCCGCCTCCAGGTCTGACTGCTCTTCATGGTAACAAGATGACAGCAAATGTGGCGTCGCCGGCAAATCATATTGTCTCCTCGCAGCCAATCAATAACAAATACGTTAGATCGTTTGAAACCATGATTGTGTGGCTCCTGCCTCCACCGTCGGGAGCGATTTATGAAAACACAGTCGAGCTGCGGGGAGATACAAGTCTTTTGTAGTTTCGTCAGCTTTTGCAGTTTTCAGGCACCGTTTGAAAATCACATGTGACACATGACTAAACAAACTACTGTACTTTTTGAAATTCCAGCGCACGGCAGTGAGCTGCACAAACCGTGTTCAGGTTCTGTCAGTGTCTTCTCAGTTCACACTGTGACTGCAGAGTTGCTGGAATTTCTATAAAGACAACTTACAAAGACTAGACAGGGTGAATCGTCAGAGCTGCATGAACACGTCTTAGTTTGAATCTCACATTTGTATGAAGATCTTCAAATAATCCAACACGGCCTCTGTTGTCACTTCAGTTTTCTGCTTTCATTCACATCTTGAGGCTTTAAACAGCTACAAGAGAAAATGTTAAACATGTTTCTTGATGTGATATTTTCCTCATGATGCTTCTTGATGCCGTGAGATTCAGTCTCAGAAATAAAGGCGACCAGGCTTCTGCAGTGAATGTCCCCATTTTCTGGAACAGCTTAGTTATTCATATTAGAACCGCTGAGATCGTAGAAACATTTAAATCACTTCTTCTCACTGGATGAGTTTGAGGCCTTGATTTCATCTATTGTGCAATTTTTTAACTGTCATCTATTTATGATGTTTTATTGCTTTTGTATGTTTTTCTTTATGTTCTTTTGTCTTTATTTAAAGTCTTTTCCACACTTTGGTCAAGGGTGGTTGTTTTAGAGGTGCAATATAAATACACTATACAGCTTTTGAATGATTTTCAATTGTCATAGAAAGTAAAACACAAAGGTTACACCAGAGGACACAACTATATTATCCTCCCAGCTGCAGGCGCCCCGGAACAACCCGTCCTCTAACGTGGACATCACCCCTCACTGGTTTCCCACCAGCAAATCAGTGCCACCAGTAGGGAACCAGTGAATCATGGTCTGTAACTTTTGCACAAGCTGTTTGGAGAAATAAGAGACACAGTCTCATTGTAAATTCATCAAATATTCACGTCCTGCTGGAGGAGAATTACCTCAGAGACAACGGTGCTGAATTCACTGTATTCAAAGCTGCAGGACATGAAAAATGAAGAGATCAGAGTGTTCACACCGTGAGCAACTACCACAACTGTGGTGATATCTATGCAGCATCAACTGAGGACGTGACACATGAGTGGAGACAGACACACACACACACATGCACGCACACA